AGCTGGACAGTCAGAAAATGTGCACTACAAATAATAATTTTACAACATTTTTATTAACATTTGAAAAATTTATGTTCTACTGTAGATTCTTCCAGTCATTCTGAGAAAATAAAAATCACTGCACCAGACAGATATAAAAATTTGCATTTGAATGTTCATCAACAGAGGAATGGATAAAGACTGGTATATCCATACAATGGAATATCAGCAATAAAAAGAAATGAAATACATGCAGCAACAGAGATGCATTTCAAAGTAATTATTCTGAGTGTGTATTAGGTTGGGCTGCTATAACGAAATGATGAAGACTCGGAAGCTTAGACAAAAGCCATTTACTTCTGATTATTCTGGAGGCTGAGAAGTCCACAATCAAAGGGCCAGCAGGTTTGATTCCTGGTGAGAATCCTCTCCCATGCATGCAGACAGCGATTTTTTGGTTGTGTCCTCATATGGTGGGGAGAGAGAGAACTCTGATCTCTCTTCCTCTTCTTATAAGGACACTATTTCCATCACGGGGCCCCATTGCTATGACCTCATCTAAACGTAATCACTTCCAAAAAGCTCCACGTCCAAATACAATCACATTAGGGGTTAGGGTTTCAACATATGATTTGAGGGGAGACACAAACATTCAGTCCATCAAGAGTGGAAGAAGCCAGACCCAAAATTGTATGATTTCATAATATAAAACTGTAGAAAAGGTAAACTAATCTATCGAGGCAGAAAGCAGATCAAAGATTTGGGGTTGGGACAGGAAGGGAGGGGTGAGGCTGGAGGGATTACTGAGGGTATGAGGGTGTTTTTAGGGGTATGAATGTGTTCACTATCATGATAGTGATGGTTTCACAGGTGTGCATACGTGTCAAAACTGAACAAATTGTACACTAAATATGAGCAGTTCATTGTATGTCAATTATATCTCAATAAAGCTGTTTTAAAAATTTATGTTCTACTGTAGATTCTTCCAGTCATTCTCTACATTATTTGATATTTATTTATTACCAAATTGAGATCATAGGGTTTTTCTGTACACATTGCACCTATTTTATTTTACTGTATTTCCCATTTCCTTTAATGCATTTTTTAATATTATTGAACTTTTTTTGAAGTTTATCATACATCCAGAAAAAAAAAAACATATATTCTGAATGGTCAAAATTAAATATATGTGTGTAACCATCACCCAGATCAAGAAATAGAACACTACCAGAATATCAATGCTCACCTCATGCTCCCTCACAACAAACAACTTATTTCCTTCCCTAAGGCGTAACCACTATCCTAACAGCACAAATTCATCTTGCCAACTTTTGAATTTCATATGAATAGAATCATGTAGTAGTAACTTTTGCTTTCTTATCTAATATTATATTTGTGAGATCCATTCATGCTGTTACATGTAGCATTCATATTTATTGTATATTCATAGCATTTCACTGCATGACTATAATTTAAATACCTTGCCTACATTACATAAATATTTTTTTTTGAGATTGAGACTCATAAAAATAATATTGCTAAGAATATTCTTGTGTCTTTCTTTTATTGCAAATGCATATGTATTCTGCCAATACATCTTAGAAGAGAATTCTGGGTCATGGATACTTTCATTACCCTAAAATGTTCTCTTCGGCTCCTTTGCTACAGCCCCTCCCCTGTAGGTCTAGGCACCCATTATAGATTTGTCTGTTCTGGGATTTCATATAAATGAAACCATACATAATGTATTCTTTTGTGTATGGCTTCTTTTGCTAAGATTCACCTGTGTGTGTGTGTGTGTGTGTGTGTGTGTGTGTGTGTGTGCAATTTTTTTTTTTTTTTTTTTTGGTAATTGCTGACAGCATTTCATTGTGTATATCACAATATGTTTATCCATCTACCGGCTGATGAGTTTCTGGGTTGTTTCTAGTTTTGCGTTACTATGAATAAAGTTGTTATGAACATCTACATTATGGTTAAAGAACATCAGTCTTGGAATTTACTAAAATTTCCTTTGTGGTCTGATACATAATTTCTATAAATATTCTATATGTGCCAGGAAATAATAAATATTCTGTGTATGAAGTGTGAAATTCTGTAAAAAATTAATATTTCAAAGTTATTATTTGGCCTTTATCTGTTATTTTTTTCCCTCTGCTTGATTCATTAGTTTCTCAGAGGATTTTTATTAAAATCTTTAGCTACAAAATCTAATTCATCTACATTCTTGCACTACTGTTTTTGTTGCTTCATTTATTTTTAGGTTGTATCATTATGTGGCATATATATTTATGATGGATATATCTTCTTATTCCTTTTACCAGTATGCATTGTTTATTTTCCCCTTAAATTCTATTTTGTCATATATTAAAATTGCTAGGTCCAGCTTGTTCTGGTTCATTTTTACTGGTAGACATTTTTTTGTCATACTTTTAACTTTTCTATATAGTTTCAAGTGTGTTTTGTAGACAATGTATTTTTGAATCTTGTATTTATACTTCAATTAAATATATTATATCAAATTTAATTGAATTTAATTAAAATATGAAAAATAAAACTTTTTTTTAGGTCTAACTCCTTTACATTCATTTTAATTACTAGTATATTATTAGTCCTTTAGTCTAACATCTTTCGTATTGCACTTTCAATGTGCTCTGTCCTCATTACCATATTCCATTGGATAGAGTGGGTTTTCTTCTGGATTAAGTCATAAATTCTTTGCATGAATTTGTAGTATTTGTGTTTAATCTAAGCCCAATAATTATGTTTGTCTTATTGATGTCTTAAACTTTGCCAATGTTTTGAGTATATAAACCATTAACAAGATATCATGTCCCTTTGGTCTCTTCCCCCACCACCCCACTTCCCTGCTTCAAGTTGGATATATCTTCTTTTTCTTTCTTTCTCTTAGACAGAGTTAACTTATCCAATAGGCATAAAGTTTGGAAGAGGGGCTGGAGAGAATGAAAACTTGTGGATGTGATGTTCAATTAGACCACTGGATTGATGGAGCTTTGGGAAAATCTGGGCTGAAGATTGAGAATCACAACTGAAATCACTGTTACTAGGAGAGGAAAACCAAAGAGTGGGAGAGAGAACACTAATACTTAAGGTATATGCAGAGAACCCTGCAAATGACATTGTAGATCCAATGAAGGAAATGTCATATAGATACCATGTATTAAAAATGTACACAGGTTATCTACTACCCAGGAATTAATTTTACAGAGACCACCATTGGGCCTATGTCCAATTTTTGCCGATAATTGTTACTCTGAAACCAGTCCCAAAGTTGCAGTCACTTGGCCTGCCAGGGCCCATAAAAAACAGGACTAGTCAGAAGTGGCCGTGTTGCAGTTGCAAAGCTTTTTTGTGGTCTCTCAATTACTTGCTTAGATAGGCAGAATGGTAGAGAAATTCCATAATACTAAAATAACTCCCACTATACTGCCTGAAACTTTACCAAGCAAGAGGTTCACTTAACTGTTTAAGATGGCTAACAATATCCACCCATCATTCATACTTTAGTGTGGATTAACTTAATCAGACTATTTCCTAATATAAACTAAAGCAATGAGGTAAGGAAGGAGTAAAGAAGACTGAGTTTTAACCGTGAAAGTTTTTAAGAAAGCACAAACAAGAATGGTTTGGCGAGGGGTATTTTGTTCAAGGCAGAAACATGCAGGTACCAGGTTCTTGGTAGAATATAAATGCTACTTGATAAAAAAATATGCTATCCATTGGCAGTGACAGCAATGTTATTCATGAAAGAATTGGGTTCCAAAAACATGAATTTACCTTAGATCAAGTCTTTAGAGACTTTTAGGCACTAATATTTTATCGTATGCTACCTCCCTGATGGTAGTGAACAGTAAAAGAGGAAGGTAGTACAATTTTAAGGTGTCTTAGTTTATTTGTGCATTTTAACAATTAAATTAATTCATAAATTTAATACTCAATAATTATATTTTATTTTAGACTACCTATGTACTTTTTGGCTTAGATGGTTGATGAATAAGCATTAATATTAGATTTCTAATAATTTGCTTCCTATATAACCATCAGTGACATTACCTCTGCTAACACACATATAAATTAAGTCGCAGGCATCAAATCCAAGTCTAAGCCTTGCAATTACATTAATAATTAACATCTATTATTTACTATGGGCCAAGAACTCACCTAAGCTATTTAAATATATTAATATACATAATATAAACATATAATTTTCTAAATTTCCATTTGTCGAATTCAAACAAATTTAGAAATGGCATAGAATTAAACTTCTGACATGTAAACATATTACCATGTTCCGGAAATAGATATTAACACTTAACAGTTAATAATTGCTTGTTAAAGAAGTTATCCATTAATAAGGCCAGTTTTTAGTAAAACTAAAAGCATTTAGTTTCTTTAGCTTTCCTATCCTGACAATGCAATACCATGAAACCACAATCAAATACAGTAATGACAGCACTGGATGGATAGATCAGTACCATTGGTTACAGCTTAGTTTCATTCTTGGCACCACATAAAAACAATGAAGCCAATCACACAAACAAATCATTGCTGTTTAAAAGCACAAATTCACTAAGTGATGTTAATTATTGTACTTGTTAATCATGTTTAGTAAAGGCTACTTACAGTGTACATGTCTAAGCATGTACTATTTAGTTATAAAGATAATAGGTTATGTACGTATACATATCCAATTTAATACAATAGGATATATATGTATATCTTAATAACTTTATGAGAAACGTATTTTCCCTAACTTGCAGATAAAAAGCTGAGGACATACAGGTTAAACAACTTCCCTTAAGTTATACCACTAGTAAGGGTGGTACCAGGATTTGAATCCAGGCTGATTCATAGCTGAAACTCAGGGTTAAAATTGTAGCAGTGTTAGAAATTTAACACACGCCTTTCTTAAATGATTGCTAATAAAACTACCTGCCAGCTCATCTGTCATTGAGGGGTAGAAATCTCTTTCTTATTTTAACACTAAAAGGCAGTTCAGGTTAAGGCTTTAAAAAGTATCAATTTAATACTGAATATTTAGAAATATGGTACACACAGACACCACAGTAATATAAAATACAAAGAATTTTAAACTCCTTTCTTATAAACCTTTGACATAGATGGCTGACAGCTCCTAACAGATAAAATTTTAGAGAAAGGTACCAGATAATTTGAGGGGGTGAGTTCATTTTAAAAACCGTTTAGTCATACAGACAGTAAGGTTTTTAAAAAAATAAGTATGACAAATATATGGATTTCTGAAGTATAAACTGACATACAAATCTATATATTTTCATATTTTTCATTGAAACATCTTTAAAGAAGTATTCTGTAACTTGAAGTTGAGAGCTCAAATTAGATATAATGAAAGCCATGAAGTTTTAATAAAATTGTGTAATTCGCATACCAAGTATTTACATAAAAGCAAACACAAAATTGCAAACATTTTATCCCCATAAAATTACTTACTAGAAGAATTATAATGTTCCTAATTTTGAATGTAAATAAGGAAACACACATAAGCAACACAAGAACTTAATTCTTCCTAGCAGCAGTGAAAGAGAAACATAATTGCCTCTTGGGGATTGTCAAAGCTTTCCTAGAACTCCAAGAGAGTACATTCTTTTGTAAAGCAGAGAGAACTAAAACTATATCCTTCACTAGCACACAAACCTATAAGCTTTCTTTTACAAACTTATAGATGCTCACAACTCTGAACCATAGGTTAGTGAACTGGACTAAAATGTCCTTACCCTCTATTTTCCCAAAAAGGTAGTTCCACACGGGGCGGAGGGGAGCGTGTAGCATTATCTTTTTGCACCTGAACAGCTTGAATAAAATTTCTATTGTTGAGTTTAAAGAGAAATAATCATCTTACATATAAGTAAGCTTGGTGGAACTTATGAAATAAATACAGCAGGTCCTCAAGAAATGTTTTGTTCAACGTCCTAGAGTTATAACATTGATAAAAGAAAAAAACTGATTCCCTCCTGGGGCCACCGTCTGTGTGGAGTTTGCACATTCTCTCCATGTCTGCATGGGTTTTTTTTCTGGGTGTTGTTTCCTCTCACATCTCAAAGATATGCAGGTGAGGTTAATTGGTGTCTAAACTGTCTCAGTCTTACTAAGTGTGGGTGTGAGTGCGCCCTGTCCAAGGTTGGTGACCACCTGTGCCCAAGTGGCTCTGACGCCCCTGGATCCTGAACTAAGTGGGTTGGAAAATCATTTTACTTGTTTTTGTTACTTTATTAAATGTATGTATAGCTTACATTTATTTCAATATTTAATACTAGAAGTGTTTTGGGGTCTTTATTTAGAAGTTGGGTGATGTTTTTGTGACCAGAAATATGCCATATAAACCTAAAATCAGCCTGTGGTAAAATTGGTTTCATTATACATAGTTTCGCTTAAAGTCAGTTTCTAAGAACCAACTGATGATGTTACATGAGGACTTACTTTATTAGTTATTAGAACATATTCCTTAATGGAACTTAAAACATCAAAACTTAATTGGGTTATATTACTCATTTAAAAAGTTATTACAGGAGACATAAAAGGACTTTCTTGAATTTAGAGCAGTGATTGTAACCCTGATCGCAAATTAGAATCACTTGGAGCAGTTTTAGAAAAACAATGATTCCATTCCTAAAAATTCAGATTTAATTGTTGTGGGAGGGGGTCCATATTAAGAGCCCTCCAGATTCTAATATAAAGCAAGGGTTGAGAAACACTGCTTTGGAAGAATCATTACTCAGAATGGATTTGATTTAAATATATGAAATTTAAATTATGAGCACTTCCTACATGGTAGGCACTGTTATAAGTATTAATAAGGAGGAAATTTTTTTCTATAAAAATTATTTAACAATATATCGTTTATCTTTTGAATGGGTATATAACTTTATTAAAATATTACTCAAAGCTTTTATTATGGTCTTTCATGAAAGATTTCCTTCTTTTCTGAACTATACTCACCACTGTAAAGGAACACACTGAGAAACTTTCTCAAGATATATGAAAACATAATAATAATATAGATTTCACTTTTCAAGTCATACTATATGAGGTATTCTCCACCTTGTATCTGGAGTCACAAAACCATAATATAAGAACTGAAATTAGGTATTGCTTTAATGATTTAACAGAATCTCCTGCATCAAGAATGAACTACCATTAGTGTCAGTGCTTGCTTTAAATTGCCAAAAAAAAAAAAAAAATCTATGAGAGTGCCTTAGGGAACCTAGTTAGAATGGGTCTTTAATGCAGACCAAGTTTCCTGTGACCTATTTATAAAATATTTCTTTAAAAAAAGTTACGGGAATGTTTTTTGAAACAATTAGAAATTAGTTATCTTGAAAGAAAGTTTTTGAAATACTGCATAATTAGATATTTGTTACTACCTCAGGATAGCTATAGCTTTAATATTTTATATCAAAACCAACTTTATTATTATGAAACTCATCTGAAATGCATTTTAAGAAAATTAGATTTAAATTAATAAATATTTGTATCTACTCTTTAGCAGAAAAGTTTTCACGTTTAAATGTGCTAAAACCAACTGACTAATTTATTAATCTTATATTAGGCTAATTATCTTTCATAGCTAGACAGTAGGCCAAGGATGATGGAATTTTACTTAAACTGTACAATATGCACATATAAGAAAATGCAATAGCAATTTGTTTTCCATACTTGATAAAATTAAAACAACTTTAAAATTTTTATGAAAGCTCAGTAGTCAAAATAAATATTTAATAAAAATATACACCATAACAAGATATCAAGAACTTAGTGTTTAAAAATAAACTTTGTCACATTGTTTGACTTCAGTTAAACAGAACTCAGTTTAGTTGCTTAAGGTATCTAAGAATGATAAAAGTTGTGTTTTTGGAAACATAATTAAAATTTAAATAACACAAGAGAGACAACACTAAGATGAAAGAGAAACTGTTTTAACTCAAAAGTTTAAATAAAGTTATTGAGACTTCTCAATGACTGTGACCCTAAGAAACACGAATAGTCTGGAGTGTAAGTCAAAGATAATTATGATTATGTGGTTCATGCTGTGAAATTCTGTGTGTAAAAAAATGAAAATACAGTATATATGAGCACCATTAGGAATGTTATATGTGTATATTTATGTAATTTAAAACTCTACCTGATTAAAAACTACATGAGTGAAGGAAAAGCACACAACTATGAAAATACATTCTTGAGCTCATATGTCATATGACTTATTTAAAAATGTTTCACATAGCATTCCTTCTAAAAAGCAACAAAAGAATACAACATAAAGCCAGTATTCTTTTGTAGTGAAAGTCCCTTGATTAAACAGGTCACTGAAGAAAAAAGAATGTATTCAGTAAGTGTTTTCAATCCAAAGCCAGATTCCAACAGGTAAAGGAAAAAGGAACTCAACTAATAAAATAGCAAATGCAGAATGTGCCCTCAAGGGATTATCATTCAGGCCTCAGATGATTTTTAATGGAGAGTAGTCAAGATTATTCTGCCACACAAATCTTCCTTCTATAATAAAAGCTACAAATTTGCCACCTATAACTTAATATTTCTGCTATAGTCACAAAAACTTAAAAAACTACGGTCATATCTTATATAATACATAATCCGGGATAAGACAGGTCTTTAACAAAAATCTTATTTTGACCCTATGTAGAGGCAACTTATGAAAGACTGTTTTGAATCCTTGCTATTTTTCAGAGCTCCCAGTATAAGCAATCACATGATATAGATGAAGTTCTTTGAAACCACTGTAGTATGATCAATAATGCTATTCACCATTTAAAATACGTTCAATTTCTTCCAGTCTTTTTAAAGCAGCAACTCTTTTCTTCTCAATTTCTTTGATATCTTTTGTTGTTTTGTGGGGGGTCTCTTTGTCTGTAATCTTTCCTAATTGTTTGTTGGATTTAGACTGACTTTTATTATCACTTGTTTTTATTATCTGAGTGGGTCTGGGTTCACTTCCGATTTCTTTAACATTTTCAGCTAGAATTTTTTCTCCTACACCTGAAGTCTTAGCAGCTGGGAATACTGGCTGTTCTATTAAACTAGATGAAGAAATTTTATCCCTGACTATATTCAAATGACGCTGAATATATTCTTCATGTGGTGCTAATGCCAATGTTTCAACTAGGCATCTTTCGGCTTTTAATAAGTCCTTCTCTTCAAAATAAACAACGCAAAGATTGTGTTTTCCTTGTACATTGCTTGGATCCATCTCTAAAATCTTTTCAAAACATTTTTTTGCTCCAAGTATATCTTTCTTTTGATTCATCAGAATGTCTCCCTTTAAAATGAGACCTTTAATATGATCAGGATAGTATCTGAGTAGCTCTTCCAAAATTGGCAAAGCCATTAATTCCTTTGCAGTCTGAGAATATAGCAGAGCTAGATTAAACAAAGCACTTCTGAAGTCAGCTTGTAATTTTATGGCTTTCTTCATCCACATCTCTGCTTCAGTGTCCTTTTTGTCATCCATGGCAAGCATTCCCAGATTGAAATAACCATTAGCATCTTGTGGTTCTTCATTTATATAACTCAGAAGTCGTTTTCTAGCTTCAGGTCTGAGTTTAACCTCACCTATAATTTTTTTTTAAAGAAAAAAAATATATATATATATAGAGTTAACAAATAAGTCTCAAGAAAAAAGCCACTATCATACATTATTTAGTTAGATTACAAAAAGACATCAAAACAACTAACTGTTGCACCTAAATCAAAAAGCAGAAAGCGAAAAGTGCTATCTTCACAGGAAAGACAGTGTGTTTGAAACGTGTTTGAAATGTTAGCCCATTTCCTTTCCTTTAAAGCAATAAGAGTGCCTCACAAACCAAAAGGGGCAATATATCTCCTTATAGTTTATAAGCTAACTGGGAGTAGCAGAGGAAGAATAGAGAATTAAAAGGAAGAGGCATGGGATTTGCCAACAGACATATATATTCAATCTTGATTTTCTTTAGAATTTGACTTTATTCATTGAACAAATTATTTAATTACTCTGGGTTAACTTACTGAAATTTCTTAGAATTACATGATACACACACACACACACACACACACAAATGCTTAACAAACATTAACTATTATTGGATACACAAAATGTTTCAGTCTTACTAAATAGGATTTTATGTTACTTCAAACTTTTTAGGTTTCAAAGGTAAAAATGTACCATTAAATATAAAGCTTATAAGTATAAATATAAATTAGGATTTAATAAACAAATATTTATTGAGGTAATTTCTACTGCAAATAAATAAAAAAATTCAAGTTCTACAACTATGAACCTTAAAATACAATCTTGTGTTGGATAATGGGCATTTTTTATGATTACTAAAGTTAGCTATCTTTAGAAAAATATTAGCTGTTCTCTAAATTTATACTTTTTTGAATATCAAGCATACAGACCTCCCTCTATTCTTCTTTTGACAATATGACGAATACAGAAAACTTGTAGTAAATCAGTAGGCTTAAGTTCTCATCTTGGATTAGTTATTAAACTGGCCATATGATATTGGGGTAGCTGTTAAATACATTTGGTCCTCACTATCTAATCTACTAAATAGGAAATTGGTAAAAGTAAACTCAAAAGTCCGCTTTAGCTCTAAACTAATATGATCTTATGATTCATTCACTTTTTGCAAGTTTTAAAAAAGAAATGAAAAATATAGATTTTCCAAACATAAAAATTAAGATTATAAATCAAACACACTGCCTTCTTAGTACTAAAATTCTTATGTCAAAGATTCCGATTCATTATAATTAGTATTTTTTTGCTAAATTATAGAAAATCTAGAAAATTAAAATATCTCAGAAAACAGTAAAACTGGATATACAATGATACCAAAAGTATTTGGTCTTATAAATCAAGAGAAAAGAATATTTTTTTCATAAACATATAGTGCTTTTAGCTCTCTAGAAATAATTATGCTAAAAACTGTATAATTTCACATTATTTGAACAGTATATTTATACACAAGATTATAATTCCATGTATAAAATGACAGAATCTATAAGGCATTCCTTAATAGACTGCCTGAAAAATCAGTCTTAATATATACAAGAACAATTAGTAACATCATATTGTCAGTACATATTATTTGAGAAGTTTATCTATGTTAAATATTCTTCTTATAAGTCATTTATACAGTTTTGATATTAACTATCCATTCATTAAATATTTGCAACAGGTAACAAAAAGTTTTATTATATTTCAAACGACAATGTGTTTAAATATAGAAATATTTTGAGAAAACATACCTGATTCTTGCATCAATATTGCAGAATTGAATAATGCTAGCTTATGCTTTGGATTTAGTTCTAAAGCATGATTAAAGTTTTTTAGGGCTTCATTTGGTTCTTTAAGTTCAATATGAACAATCGCCAAGTTGTACCAAAGATCTGCATTATTTCTGTCCAACTCTAGTGCTTTAAGATATGCTTCTTTTGCTTTGAGAGGTTTATTCATTTTTAAAAGCAACTCTCCTCTGTGGAAAAATCAAGCACAAGCTTTATTTACAACATTACCATGTCAGTTTGTAGATACTATTTTTCACAAGTTTTAAGGTTTTCCACATATGCACAGCTTCCTATTTTCTTTTTAAAATTAGGCTCTTAAAATTTTCTTTCAAAAATAACCATTTATCCAAAGCAATCCTGAGAAAAAAGAACAAAGCTAGAGGTATCACACTCCCTGACTTAAAACTATACTACAAAAATACAGTAATCAAAAAACAGATGCACAAACCAATGGAACAGAATTAAGAGCCCAGAAATGAACTTACACATACATGGACAACTAATTTTTGACAAAGGAGACAAGAATATATAACGGAGAAAGGAAAGTCTCTCTAATAAATGCTGTTGGGAAAAGTGGACAGCCACATGTAAAAGAATAAACCTAGACTACTACTTTACACCATATACAAAAACTAACTTGAAATGGATTAAAGACTTGAATAAAAGACCTGAAATAATAAAATACATAGAAGAAAACATATGTGCTAAACTTATGGACCTTGGTCTTAGAGGGGTTTTTGTGCACTTGACCCTAAAGGCAAGAGATGTAAAAGCAAAAAGAAATGAATGGAACTATATCAAACTAAAAAACTTCTGCACAGCAAAAGAAACCATCAACAAAACAAAAAGGCAACCAAACCGAATGACAGAAGATATTTGCAAATAATACCTTTGATAAGAGGCTAATATCCAAAATATACAAAGAACTCACACAACTCAGCAATAACAAAGCAATAACAAAAAAATTAGATTAAAATACCAAGCAAGATACACAGATGGCCAAGAGACGTATAAAAAGCTGTTCAACATCACTGGTTATTAGCAAAAGGCAAATCAAAACCCCAAGTGAGATACCACCTCACAACCATTAGAATGGCTTTCATAAAAAAAAACAAGAAATAACAAGTGTTGGAGAGGATGTGAAGAAAAAGGAACCCTCGTACACTGTGGGAATGTAAATTTGTGCAACCACTATGGAAAAATCATCAACAAAACAAAAAGGCAACCAAACTAAATGACAGAAGATATTTGCAAATTTGGAAATTTCTCAAAAAATCAAGAATAGAACTACTATATGATCCAGCAATTCCTCTTCTGTGTATTTACCCAGAAAATATGAAAACACTTATTCACAAAGATATATGTACTCCTATATTCACTGTAGTGTTATTTACAATAGCCAAGACATGAAAACAACCTAAGTGTCCATTGATGGGTGATTGGATAAAGACGTAGTATATATGTACAATGGAATACTTTTCAGCCATAAAAAGAAATGAAATAATGCCATTTGTGACAACATGGTTGGATCCTGAGAGTATTATGCAAAGTGAAATAAGTCAGATGGCAAAGGACAAAAAAGTATGATTTCACACACATGTGGAATATAAAACAAAAAGTAACAAACAAAACAAACTAATAAAGACAATAGAATGGTGGTTGCCAGAGGGGAAAGACGTAGGGGGGAGGGCAAAGTGGGTCAAATATATGGTAACTGAAAGAAACTTGACTTTGGGTAGGCTCATGCAACAGACTACAAAGATGTCAAATAAAAATCTTGTATACCTGAATATTATATAATGTAATTAACCAATACATTAAAAAAAATTAACAACAAAACACGCACAACCAAAAATAACTGTCTGAAATTGTCCTCAAACCTGAACTCATGAGTGGCAAATTTGGCTTAATATGTTCTCAAATATTATTAAAGAAGGAAAAAGCATGCCTGACATTAGAGAGTAAGATGTGGGGAGGTATTCAAGGAAGGGGAACAGAGAAAATAAATTCTTCGACTATATCTTGAAAGGAGTCAGACTAGACTATATCAGGAAAATGACAGCAGTTGGAGATCAATTTGTTAGGAAACCAAGTAATAATAGCATTTGAAGAAGGAAAATAAATTCAGTAGTGATGAGGAAAATTCCAATATTTTAATTTATGTTAGAAGTCTTACTACACACAAAAAAGAACATTTGAAATTTTTTTACACCTTTTTATATTAATTTTGTCTTCTTCAATGTATTCTTATAAAATGACCATTAACTGAAAAAAAAAAAAAAAAAGAATTTAAAAAACCGATCAGGTAGGGTAGAAGGAGCGCTAGTGCCACCTACAGATACCTTTGAGAAACACATCTGGATCTGAGGATCGCGATTTGAAAACTATTTTACAAATCTTTCTAATACATTTCTATTTCCTGTTAGAGAGTTTAAAAAGTCATTTTTGATTAAGAACATATGTGCAAGTCATTTTAAGTATCAATATGAGTTACTTTTATTCTAATACTATTCTTTCCTAAAGTATCAGCATAGGAATGAAGTCAAATAAACAACTACTGATATTCTCAACAAGAGAACTTTTAGAATGGGTATTTGTCCAAAATGTTATTATTTTTTTTTATGCAGAGACTGTTGAACAATTCTTTATGGATTAGCACATGACAAGTTTTATTTATAGACGCAATTCTGCTAAATCTAGGGAATTTCAAGAAGTAATGCATAATACCAAACAAAGACAGCTTCCAACTTATGAAGACACCAAAAAGTTATTAAATTTTAAATGCTTTTTCCTCATAGAAACAATGTTAAAAATCATGATTCGGTTTCTGGGCTGGGTTATAAAACAAAGTTTAACATACTATTTTCCTTAAGTATAATACAAATGAACACACAGGAAAATATATCAAGTTCTAACATGTGATGCCAAAATTTTTTTTTACTGACAACTAAAAAGTTTCTTTGTGGTAAAGGCATCAATAACCAGTCAATTCTCGGTATTTATTCAAGAAAGCTCCTGCGAGTTGGATATTAGAAGTACTTATTACAACATGTAAGTTTCAGTGTTTTAAATAAAATGAATTTGGTGATGAGAAGCAAATGAAACTAAAAAGGATCATCTTCTGATCTTTCTTTTATATGAGACCTAAAGTTTACTATTATAAGTTATGAACTCTTGTCAATTTCAAATCAAATCAATTAGATTAGATTGTTAGTCTAAAACAGGCTTTGTTTCTATGTTCTGGCTTGCCATCTAAAATTACTGAGGGGGAAAAATGTCAATTTGATGAAAATGTACGTGCAGATGTAGCTTCAATTTTCTATAATGACAGCTTAAAGTGAACTACAATACCTGCTAATGTAAGCCTGCTTGAAGTCGGGCCTCATGCTTATTGCTTGTCGATACAGCTGATCTGCTTCTTCCAGTCGGGACTCATTTGCTCGGATGAGGTTGGCCAGATTAATATAAACATTTAGGTGGTTAGGGGCAATTCTGGCTGCATATTTTTTACCAGGAATAATCTGTTCAGAAGAAGAGGCAGTTTCATAATTTGATATTTCATTACCAAATAAAAGTCAAAAGTAAGCAGGCCTAGTAGCTTATTTAAAATACATATAGAATATAAAAAGATAGTATTACTAGTTTTACTGCTATATTAAAATTATAAAAATGTGAAAGCATCTGTGGTATTCAAAAAATGTAAATAAAATAGTATTTTGTAGCACTGAAGGTTATATTTTTCATTTATGACAGCTCAATAGAATATGCTTAGCTTTTTATTTATATGTGTCATTTTATGAAGTCATATAAATCATAACATTTAGAGGCTAAGGTCTCTTAGTATGTTTATGTCAGACCAGGAATAGAACTCGGGACTCTTTCCTCTCATGCTACCAGCAAAATATTTACTGATTGTGACAACAGGGTACTTAATTTTAGTTTAAAGTTATACTAAAACCTCACTTGTTGAGTAGAATTAGAAAATAAAATTCTCTTATTACTAATTATTCAAGTTATGTAAAGGTTATAACATACATGTTATATAGGGACCGAAATTTTCCATGAACATAATAAATTATATCTGATAAAAATCAATACTGAACACAATTTAACATTAGAATCTTAGGACTGAAATATTCTTAAGATATCATGTGGTCCAACTTTGTTTTTAAAACATTTATCAAACTATCCAATCATTTTAATATTACTACTACTATTATTACTATAGTATTAATAAATACTATAATTGAGAAAACTGTAGCTCACGGTAAATAATCTTTTCTGATGATCCACAGCTTGTCAAGGGCAAGATCAGATTTTTCAACTTTGAGGGCATATTGTGATATCCAATTATCCAATGAATCTTGTACTTATGTCATTATAACTGATGAACACAATGTAGCAAGAGATGTATCTATTTTGTTTTATTATCTTTTGATAGGAATAATGTTGAATTTAGTGCTTAATGTACATAAATTTTTTTCGCTTAAAGTCATTTAACTCGATAACATAATCAAGAATATCTAAAATTCATAACTTTATGGATTTAGTTTTTATAAACAGACTACACAAAATTTTTTTTTAATTACATGAGCTGGAAAAGTAATATAATCCTTTATAAGACTTGTAGTAATAGATGGTTCATTGGATGCCTTACTTTTATATTAATAAATTGAAGAAAAAGTAAGGATTTTCCATCTAGATAATCCTATTTAATGTGGATATCTACTAGATATGACACAATAGGAATAAATTATGACAACTTACTTGAGGCATCAGTGACTTAGCCATCATGTAAGATTCTTCAGCTTCTTTGGTTCTATTTAAATTTTTATAAGTTCTTCCTACATTCATGTGGGCACCAATATCATCTAAAATTTTAAAGAAATTATTTGTTGACAAATATATGAAATAGTATTCAATGTAAATGACTAAGACATGCTTCCAGTCACAAAAATACTAAGCAAAAAACGCAAAAGCAGGCTAAGGTTCTGCTTCCTCCTTAAAGTTTTTCTAATACAACTTACTATAACTTATGATCAATGCTACACTAGCAAATTATTAACTAAAGTACTGTAAAGACAGAAAATACACATATAACATGAAAAAAACTATTTGAATAGACATGAGAGGGAATAAAAAGAGGTAATGAAGAAACTGACATCATTTTTCTTCACTATATTTTACTATACTACACTAATGCTTGCCTTCATTTCCTTAAACTCATAGCTGTGGAATTCACTCAAAAAGTATGGCTCAACTCTAAAAGTGAAGAGGATCTACAAGTAAAAGGATCATAATTCCTAGATTTATTTCAAATATTATAACTAACAAATATGTGCACATGGTTGGATAGTGGCAAAGAGATATGAAAAAACTTTGTGATTTTGTTTTTTAAAATTTTTGTAAAATGTGGTTAGAATGCAAGTATAATGGAATTTCAGGATTCTATGTTAATATATAGCAGCCCATCTCTCATAAATGATGATAAATTCCTATATAATTTATTTAAAACTTTTTAAAAGGTTGTGTTAATATTAGAATGTCAGGAACTTTTGTCTCATTTTGATATGGAAAATTGAATCCCAGAAATTTATTCAGGTGTATAAAAATATGCAATTTAAATAAGAAAGATATGAGGGTTTAAGATATGTTTCCCAGTAAATATTTCAAAGGTTTGGAATCAAGATAGAAAGAAGGGAGAAGATCATAATCAGACAAATTTAGGCAACATGAATCTCTAACAGACATGACAAGGTTTCAAATTATGATTACTACTTGCCTGTGACACCGATGATTTTGCAATTGTGGAATAGTTCTCTGCCTGCAACTCCCAGGATACATAGGGGCCAAGCATATATATCTTAGGCATTCCCCTAGGAGGAGAGTAACAGTCCTAAGATCTTGCTACATTATGTTTCAGGCTGGCAATTATGTGCACTGCGCAAAAACTGTCAGATACAGTGTGGATTTGGTTAGAGAACTGGGGGGAAAAGGTTGGGGGGAAGGGGACTGATTTCTGTTTTGGGGATGTATTGCTGAATCACAGAGTCTCAGGAGAGGGTCAAGCATTACAAAACAAAACAAAAAAAAGAAAAGAAAAGAAAAAATATCTTTAGGCTATCCATTTCCAATACTGGCTGCAAACAGAATACCTATGTAGCTTTTAAAAATTAAGATACTTTAAGCCACACCCAGCTCTATCAAAACGGAATCTTTAGGAATCAAATTTGCAAAAATGTTTTTAAAGTTTAAAAGGCAGTTTCATGCAGAGCCAACATTGAAATTCATTGCATTACCAAATGCATATGAAAATAGAGTAGGTAGTCTTTGCTCTTTAAAGCTCAATTTATAAACATCAGATAAATTTATATCATTTACTCCAGAGGTCAGAAAGTTACCTAGGAAAAACTAAATATATATAAAACCCCCCAAAATAAAGTTTAGATTAAAAAAAAAAGTAAAATTATGTCAGCTAAATATTTAAAATGTTTCTCAAATCAGTCCCAACCAATAGATAATGTCTTTAAACGAGGTTATCTATTTGGATGATAGACAAAGAAAATTCCTACCCACTGGAATCAGGATTTTAGGAGTATGGCAAGGAGATACTATCATCAATGAAGACTTCAGACACTAGAGTCAGGCAGCCCCACTTTCTCAAAGAACAAAGATAGCAATTAGAAAGCCTTTAGCATCAAAAGGATTACTCAGTACAGCTAATAAAATAAGAGGCAAAGTCTCTAAGCAATTTCTTTAAAAGTGGCAGTTTTAAGATTCCAGAGGAGGAAACAGCATAACTGGTAAGGTAAATTTAAATTTGGGGGTGGGGGAGGTAAGGTTAAGAAAAGCAGGCAACATGTAAAATTCAATGACATTTAAATGACTAAAAAGCTATAGAATTTCAAAGAATAATCCTGCTACTAAGAGTGCACTAGTCAAGCCAACAGCAGAGTGAATACAACAAGTCTGTCTTCAATGTATATGAGGACTGGCAAGTATCAGGCAACTCTGTATCTAATAATTCTTCAGCCATCAACAGTGAAGTCAACTATTCCCAGACCTATGGCCTAAGCATCTATGTTGCTTTCCAGTATTACCTAGCCAAAGAAAAACTGTCGATTCATTTAAAAGGTAAATTTATAAACGTAAGAAACTCCCCAAAACTCTCTAAAAGTCATTTCCATCCTGATGGCATCCAACTTGAACAGGTCCCTGACTCTTTTCTGATATGGTCACAAATATTCAGACTTAGATAAAGACAAAATCATTTATTTTAAGGCAAAAAACATACCTTAATTCTGGTGTTTCTTGAAAAAAAAAAAAAAAATCTACCCTTGTCTTAAAAAGGTGTTTATGGACACTGTAATTCCAGTTGCAAAAATTTCATCTATGTAAATTAGGATTTTTTTTTTTTTAAAAAAACACTTGTACCATCAAAACAAAAAAAATTGCCATCAATTGTTCATCTAACATGAAATGCATTATCATCTGGTCAAAGATCAGTGTATAGTTTATGTTCTTATTCTGGCTAAGCAAGAAAAGCCTTTAGACTGAATTTTTAAGTTAACTTTAAAATGTTAGAATCCCTACTCCATGTGATGCTATACTGTTCCAGGGTTTTAAATAGCATCAATATGCTTGTTACTCCAAATTTTTATCTCTAGTCCTGACCAATTCATTGCCTTCATCTCCAGACTTATAAATCTATCTTCAGCTGTCTATCTAACAGGGACAAAAAGGACTCCTGATTTCCCTTCCTAGAAGTCGTTTTATCTGTCAAATATATCTCTGAAGAATATAGCTAAAAAACAAAAAAAAAATCCAAGAAGATTCTGAATGCCAAATTCGATGTTTCTAAGTTTATGTACTTTTTCGTAATACATTGTAATAAATTGGTTTATCTGTTTCCCTAGTCTATGGCTCATTAGAAACAGCAATTTTGAGAGTATGGTAGGGAAGTCTAAAGGAGACAGGTTCAGCAAGTATCTCAAAAACAACAAGAAGTGACAACTGACAATAAGGGGAAAAATTATTTTAAAGTTGAGTGCCTATACCTAGCAACATCCTGTGATATGCATACTATTCATTAGATAAAATTAAACATGCACATACATGACCACCCATACCATTTAGTCTTTAAAACAGTGCAATGAGAAAAAATTACTGTCCCAATTTAGAAATGAGAGATAAGGGTAAAGGGGCTTAAATAATGACTTCTAAGAAAGTACCTGTGTGTTTAACATCAAAGATAACTTTGCTCTCTAAAAACTCCTCGAAGGAATCTAAGATTTCGGAAAGTAATGAACTGGAACTACCATAGTTAGTGGCTATTGACTGTGATGGGTAAGACTGTGCTAGATGATGCAGAGGGACGAAGATGAATAAGATGCTTGTCCTGTCCTAAACTAGGGAGCGGCTCAGTTGAAATAAACAAATGTTTTTAATAAGCACACATTTAAATACATAAATATGATATAGTACTAAGTAGAAAATTACAAATATCATAGGAAAGATACAGAAGTTGTAAGGAGCTTTAAAGATGAGAAATGATAGGAGGGTTTTTAAGAAGCCATGTAAAGTAGATTGCAAAAGATGGGTAGGATATGATAGTAGGTAGATGGGAAAGGAGGGACAAGAGGGGGGATTCTAGGCTCAAAGAACATGAACAAGGCAAAGAGGTGAGAAAACTCAAGATAGGTACCCTATATTTCAAGTAAAACTAAAATACAGGAAGAGCCAAGTGAGATAAAATTGGAAAGTTAAACCATTAGTTATAGTTCTACAACTTTCTCTTCATCTTTCTATAACTGAAATTTGGCTCTGCCTTGGGGACATGGTTTAAACTGTAGCTCTTCCAAGTGGTGACTGTGTTTTTTTATCCCTTGTAATACTGGGCTTGAAGGCAAGGTAGGTGTCCTCCTTGATCCTTATCACTTCCAGATTATTCTCATTAAATCTTAAAATCACTCTTCTCTGAATTTTATTCAGGTCATTAAAATCTATTATCCACAATCCATCCTTGTTGCAGTCACCGATCTCTGGGTCATAGCTCCTGGTTCCTTGTCATTCTCTTCAATATCATAGTTTTCAAAATTCTTAGTGATTTCAAAATGAACATAAATGAATCTTCTAATATATGGCCTTGTTATCGTTTCTTCCAAAGATTTTCACCTCCATCTTCCTTTTAATAGTTACTTTAATGGCCACGGTCACATCTAATAGAAAAAGAGGAGACACTGCCTGCCACTCCCCACCCCTCCGAGAATATTTAGAAAGGTGTTTGTGGCGGTACTTTTTGATCATCATTCTGAATGGAAAGTAATGATGGCCATTTGGTGGGTGGAGGTCATGTCTGGTACATATACTGAAATACAGTTCTGCACGCTTGAAACGCCAATAGCATCCTTATTGAAAAATATTTATACTCTAGGCTAGACTCTACAAAGATACCAACATTTTTTTTTAGACCTATAAACCATTGATCCTAACACCTTTCCTCCATCCCTCATTACTCCCTTCCCAACCCTTCTTAACCAGTTTAGATTCTGAATTCCATTATTACAACCATTCCCTTATCACTTTCTTGTTTAGTAATACACAACTGACAAAATCTTAATCCTATTTAAATTATCCATGCCTGTACCACTATAGCCGTAAAGCAGCAGAAGAAATATATAATCACATCAACTGGTTTAATTTTAAATGAAGTATTCCTAACCTTAAGTAGGGTGTTAGAGCTGTCTGGCAATTATACCACATTTTCCTTGTCTTGATCTTTGTTTCTCAAAGAGTGATCCATGGGCTAAGCATCGCCTATGAACTATTAGAAATGCACAGGTCCTACTCTAAAACTCTATACATCAGAACATGCACCATAATAAGATTTCCAAGTGATTCACACACATGTTAAAGTTAGCGAAGTTCTATCCTAGATAACTACTTCACCCCTTCTCCTACTCATAGATCTCCAGCCCTGCCTACCCCTTCCTCTACTGATTCTGTTTTCCGTTTCACTGAGAAAACAGAAGTAAACAGAGGGCAACTTCCAGAAGCTTCCTCCATGTCATCTATTCACCTGCCCATACCCCATATCCATATACTCTATCTTCCCTGTTACCACAGGATATTGGTTCTACAACTGAATGAAGCCCCTCACCTATGCACCAATCCTATTTATCTCTTTTTATCTATTCAAGGACATTGAGCTAGTAATTTGTCCCCTCACCTTCAATTATTACTTTTCCTAGCTTCAAAGAATTAGCTTTGTTTCTCCCAGCTTGAAATAAAAATAAACAAAAAAACTCTCCTATCATTCTCCCACCCTTTCCTGACTCCATAATCCAGCACTGCCACCGTTTGTCGATACACTTTTTAAAAGTTTCATTACCAATTATTCTTCCTCCACTCTCCTAAATTCATTCCTATCAAGCTCTTGTATCTATCACTCCACCAAAATTGCTCATCAGTGCCACCCAACAACTCCACAATGTTCAAAAAAAATTCCTTAAGTATTTTATATAAGTAGTTCTAATATTTAATCCAATTCAAAATAAGCCAGTATTGAACACTGGTAATATTCAAATCACTTAAAATAAAGTTTGAAAATAAACTCTACCTTATTTTCCCCAAATATCAAGATTTCAAAAAGAAAAGAAACTATTAAAATAATTTTATTAATACTGCTTACCTGGCTGAACATGGGTAGCCTGTAAGAAGTATTTCAAAGCTCTCTCGAAGTTCTTTTCATTTTCCAAAGCATGACCCACATTATTCCATAACTTGGCATTATTTTTATTTACCTTAAATATATAAGTACAGACAGAAATTAGTTACAGTTAAAAAAATACCACTCCAATTAACAGATATTTGTTTGATATACTATTAGGAATGAAGTGTTCCACGGAAATGTCCATGAATAGATAAATGTGGTCAAAAGGTAAAAATCTCCAGTTATGAGGTAAATTCTGGGGATGCAATGAACAGCATGGTGGCTATATTTAACAATACTATATTGTATATTTAAAAATTTGTAATAGAGTAGATCTTGAAAATTCTCATCACAAGAAAAAAAAGTTTATAACTGTGAGGTGATGGATGTTAACTACTTATTGTGATAATCATTTCATAATAAAAACAAAAAGCAAATCATTATGCTGTACACTTTAAACTAATACAAAGTTTATGTCAAAATTATATCTCAACAAAACAAGAAATCATTCAGATTTTCTCCTGGAAAAAAAAAATGTATATATGGCTTCAATTAACATAGTTATTTGTTTGGTAAACTACTGGGATGGAGTGTTCCATGGAGATGTCCCTGGAGATGAGGAAGGAGCCAAACGTACATTTCTTCACCAAATTTACTCTCTCCCTTTCAACATCAACATACTAAAACCACAGTAATCTGATTTCATCTATTTTATTACAATTTTACTAAAAATATTATTTGATTAAAGCATAGTGCTGTTTGAAAACTCCTGCTCTATTACTTGTATTCTTTTGGGAGGAAAGATATTTGAACATGAACATATGTTTAAACCCTGCACTAATTACTTATTTTTAGGCTCAAAAAAAGTTACTTATGTAGTATATTATGGTAATGAGAACCCTGGGATTAAAGTTCTAAGTTGATCTGTGCTTTCAGAATTCACAGATGGGCGTGGTATTCCTGGTACCTAGTCAAAGAACTAGCTGCAGTGATTGGGAATGTGGTTTTAAGCATTGTCCTGGGAGTAAGGACAAGCAAAATTCCTGAAAATTAAGGGGCTTCATTAGTATTCCAGGAGTGCGGATTCATAAGGATGGTAATGAGGACTCATTTGTTTGTAGACTTCGGAGCTAGGGGAGACAGTGTAATTACTGAGTAGTATAAGAGGACATTCATCTGATTTTAGGTGTATGTCAAATCAAGAAGTTACACAGACTACTGGAATGAGGCAGTGATCTAGTAAAGCTAGTCAATGCAGAGTACAGAAATAGTCAAAAGGAAGTTCAGAATTTAGAGATTTAGAGAGGTAAGGGAGCACCTGAAAAAATATCTTGCTTGTAGCATTTATAGAAAACAAATTTAACGGTTTTCAAAAAGATCTTATTCCTATTTATGTTGTCTAGTCTACAGAAATGCTAAATTACTCCTTTCTGCGAGTTCGTATCTTTCCTATAGTATCATAACCATCAATTGGTTATCTTCTACATGGGGTGGTGGCAGTGCCATTTTTTGCTATGTATTTTATTTCACTGAATTTAAGATGCCATCAATTATTAAAACTTGCCTTTATTTTATGTACCAATAAGAAAAAAGATCATTAATTAATTATAAGATGCCTTTCACACTGTAAGATTTATTCTAATTTCAGCAATGTTAAGATTTTAAAATGTGTACCTTAAGAACCAATAAAATATAGTACTCTTATTTAAAAATTTTATTATTTGAGCTTCTAACAACTCTATAGCACTTAGGGAACTATTCATATATGCTGTGGACATACAGGTAAGTACTATTCAGAGCACTGGTTACAATACAGAACAAATAATTTTTACTAATCTTTTGGTGAAGTACTTAATATTGACAGTTATTGTCTCACTAAAAATAAAGTTAAAGCATTTTAGATATAGCTATAAGAAGTAATTGATGACATACTGTCATTCTGGATAATACTTTACCTTCAAGGCTGACATAAACAACGTATATTCAGACTCCCAATCCCAATTTCTGTGGAGTGTTTTTAAGGCATGAGTGAGTATCACCATAGACAGACAAACCCAGGATAACTTTTTTAATACACTGTTTTTGAGACAGAAACAAAACAAAAAACATTGTCTATATCACCAAAAGCATTTTACCTTTTAGAACAGAGGTAAGAAATATGTTAAATATCTTCAAATGTTTGAATTTACTTTAAAGAATAGGGATAGTTCTAATAATCATCCAAATTCAGAGGGAACAACACTCAAAAAATTTAGATATTATGAATACTTTCTTCCACTTCAGTCTTCAGTTACATTAAGTATTCCAATATTTGACTTTATTTCAAAAGCTTTGTTGAGATTTAATAACAAAAAATAAAATCAGCTTTTAATTATGACTTTTCATATGTAGAGTCCTTTGTACCTTCATCTACAACTTGAATATTCTTACTTGTGTTTATAAAGGGTCAATCACTGGTTATATTTACAAACATTTCTGCTTACAATTACGTATCGGACTGTCACAAAATTCTTAGAATAATTTTACATTGTAAAGCTAGATTTATTAAAAGTCATGGTAAACTTAACTCTATAAAATAGATACAAATTACTTATACACTTTAGGCTAGTTTTGAGGGCTCAATTCCTCATCTATAAAAAGATGATTATACCTCAATAATCCCTATGGTCTAATTTAGTATTAATGTTCTGAGTCCATGTTTCTGTCCCGGTTATACAGTTTAATTTCTTTCATTTTAACAGATCCATTTAACCAGGATAGGAGGGTAAGGATCAGAAAGTACATAGACATTGGAAGTAGTCAGATATCCATGTGAATGGAGACTCTGCTGTTTACTAGCTGTGTGGTCTTGTATAACTCAGGTAACCTGGATGAGCTTCAGTTTTAAAATTTGCAAAATAGAGTTAAGTAGTGTCAAGATTAAATGAAAAAAAAAAACAAATCTAAAGGGTCTATCATGGCACCTGGCACATGGTAGGCATTCCCAATTTGGTAGTGATTATAACTAGATGTGTGTGTGGAAGCTAAGAGAAAAGGTTTGGTAGATAGTAGTGAAAACTGTGAACATAGATGAGATCATCCAGAAAGAATATGCCATGTGAGAAAAATGGCTAGGAGTAGAACTCTGAGAAATAAAAAAAATTTTAAAAAGCAGGTATGGCAAGAAGAATCAGAGATTTGACGCAGAAATGAACAGATGTGAAAGAGAATCGAGAGAAACTTTTTACAAATGCCAGGGAAATAAATTTTAAATTAAAAAACTGACTAGATTTAGTTACTAGGAGGCAGGTTGTTATCTGTGTTAGTAGACGATATGATAACTATTCTGCTCCTTAACTGTTAGTTTAAGGCAATTAGGACATGGTGATTATGATGAAGATAGTATATGGTGATTATGATAAAGACAGTAATGATAGCAAGAAATTACAGACTGCTTACTATATACATTTTACATATCCTATTAACTCAATACAACTCACTCAAGTTAGTAAGACTATATCTTAGTTCACTGTATATGGAAGTGGCAATGGTCATTTGTAACTTTAGTCTCAATAATATCCTTGTTTTCATTTGGGTCCAACTCAAAATATGTTATGTCTCAGGCTGTAAAATAAAATTACATAAATATGAAGACCATAAGACTGCAGCAGGTGCTACAGAGCTTGACTAACTTGAATTACAGAAAAATGAGGAGACTATCAAGATGATAAACAAAATTTAAAAGTCTGACAAAATTGAACTAAATATTTTAAATACTTAAATGTATATTTGATTCTACAGTAAGCATTAAATGAACTAAAATATAAATTCACCTTTTGTTTGATATTTTCTGCCATCCATGGGCTACCAAAATACAGAACCCCATGCTAGGAACATATAATACTCGCTCAGCAACAACAAATCCAACTGGAAAAAAAAGGTTCGATGCAGGAATAAATGGTAATGCCATTAAACAAAGTGCCTACAAAGAAAAAGATAGTAAATTAAAAAGTATATGGACATTCAACAGTCAAATCCAAACATTTTATCCTTTAATTTGGATAATGTACTGGTGACCATTTAAAATAATACTATAAAGACTATTAATTTAAACCTAAAGAAGGCAACTTAGGGATGGTAACAACCAACAAAAATGTATGTCAACAGGTGAGATAAAGTCTTATTGAATGCTAACTCTTATAATTAAGGCTAATCCAATTAAGAAAAAAAAAAAAAGCATTTTCTGAAAGCATCTAAAATAAGACTGATAATTTTTATACATATAATATGCATGTGGTAAAAATAAGTGGACAAAAAAAGATTTTAATAGGGTTAAACACCACAAAATCACAAAGGTTGACAAAATAGCTAAATGAGCCTGTTTTTATAATTTCAATATAGTAAGTAACTGCAGCATATTGGAAATTGATAAGCTGTTTCAGATAAGACAGTATACTACCACTTCTGTACCTCAGCATTATTTTGCATAATATTCTGATGAGTCACACATGTTTAACAGAGGCTTAGAATATGTATAAAAATAAAACTGCCCCTTTAAATCAAGTCTTTTATTCTTTTATTCTAAGGCTTCTAAGAAATTCTAATAAAAAATTCTAAAATTCTACCACTGTACATTATTTAAAAAAATTTTTTTTTTTGCCATTTTGAAAAGCATATGGTTTCTAGGTTATAAAGCCATTACAAAAGGTAGAATACAAATAACTACTACACAAATAACTTGTGGAAAGCAGCTGTCATCAGAACATGTTTCCATATTTTGTTACCCTGTTTTGTTTTATAGTACCTAATCGAATAAGTTGTTTCTTCAGCTCCGAAAGTCTGAGTCTTCTAACAGTTTGAGAGAAAAGAATGTCTTTTCTTTATTATACTTTATTAGTGAAATATAGATGTAGAGATGTCTCTACATTGAAAAGAATACTTTTTCCATGAATCACAACTTAATGATTTGTAATGAGGCAATATTGAATATGAAAAGCACTACCATCAAATTGCTTAGTATCATATCTATTTATGTCTGAAATTTTAATGTTTTCTTTTTTATTCAAAAAGAAATAACTCAACTTCTATTAGAAGTGCTTGATAAAAATAACCAGCTAGCCGTGAAACATATGTTTCTAACCATGTAATCCTTTTTTTTTTAAAGAAAATATTCCCTATTAATTCATGGCTACACTAAAGCAAGTTCATTTGAAAGAACTGAGTTGTTAAATTGATCCAAAGATGCATCAGGGACTGATACATAAGCTACACAAAAAAGAAAAGCAATCTCTCAAAAAATCTACTGGTTTTTGGATAAAGAATGGTTGGATAATGATTATTAAGTTACTGAGAAGTTCTAACATGCTCTTTGTTAAGGTATGCCAACTTAGTTAAACAATGAGTAACACAATCTCCTTCTTCCAGTGATGTAAATTCTCTTTAAAAGGAAAGATGGTAGTAGAAAGAAAAAGAGTTTGGTAACAAATTTGTTTCACTTCTTACTTCCTATGCAACATAAGGTGACTGTTCACCTTGTGACTGCTTCTTTATAATACAATGGGGATTAATAATTATATTGCTGAGGTACTTATGATATCTTATTTAATAAGTGATTAACATAGTAAAGAGTACTTACTAGGTACTCTTTTGATCTACTTATCCCTTCTAGAGTTCTTCAAAAAATATCCCTATTAAAAATAGAATGTTTAAGACTATACTTAAAGCAGCTATACCTAAGGTCACAAATGTTCCTCTTTTTGCACATAAGATATAATTTATATAAATCTATATTTATTTCATTGACACTATCCTCTACTTTTTATTCAGCTTATATCACATATCATTTTTTTTTTATTTTCCAAAACTTTAAATTCATCTGCTCCTCCTTATATTACTTTTCTTTTAGCAGAACCTCAGCTTTGGATGTATTCTACCATATGTCTGCTTTGTCTGTATTTACTTGAGCAATAAAGCACTACAGCAGCTGCCAAGCTGAATAGATTAATCTCAAAAATCCATGATCACTAACTTCGAATTGACCATTAAGACTGCTCAGTATTCCTAGGGCTCTTTGATAGGTTCACTCTAACTTTCCTTGACTATTTTGAATCTTGACTATCTCAAACTTTCGACCCGTGTCACTTTCAGCAGGTGACCACATTACCAAACTTAGAGAAAACTAAAGACATAAAACGAAACTCCCTTCAAGTCTGTCTAAACCTACTAGCATCCACATTCATGCTCATTTCCATCATTCCTGTACCATAAGGTATCTCCATGTATCTCAGGTCAAACTTGAGCTCTACATACCCCCACTCCACACAAATCTCACTATTAATTATCCCTTCTTTCATTTACTGAGCCACATACTTTCTACCTATTTTTAAACATACTCTTGCCTCTCAAATCCTTAAAAATATTCTCCTTTGACAACACATCTTTAAGTTACCACAATCATTCATTATGTTCCTCAGGTATAAAACAAATTCCCACACTCTAAGGAAAAGACTTTTGAAGCCATGGTAACAAGTAGCTGGTTTTCCATTTAATTAATCAACATTTCAACTTAAAAATATGTTTCGTAAGCCAACCCATTAGTGATATCTCCTTGCTTCTAAAAGTCAGCCAACAGAGCATTCCAATGAAAGTGATTCTAAGTGTGACTCAATCAACAGTCTCCCCCTGATCAACCACTCTCACCTCTGAAAGTCCGCCAATTCTAGATCTCTATTCTTCCCCAAGTCCTATCTAAGTTCAGTAGTCTGTTACGCTTGAAGCCACTACCTAACTTGCAGTCTTCTTAGGCAGGCAATACATTCCAGCTTGTCTCATCTTCTGAAATATTCAATGTTAAATTACCTCAAAAGGTTATCTACACAAGCAACATTCACTTCCTCATCTCCTAATTAAATCACTCCACGGAAACAAATTTCGTTTAAGAAACTAACACACCTAAAAGAGGTCAAATCCAACTTTTCTACTTGACAGCATCTGTTAGTGTTTACCATGGTCTTTCTTGAAACACTTTGCTACCTTTCTATCTGGTCTATCACCTACACAGGTTCATTCTCCTCTATGCATCTAAATATGAGTTTTTTAAGACCTACTTGTAGTCTTCTTCTCTTTCACTCTATTCAGCCTCTTAAACTATTTTCTAAGGCATGTATTATGTGTATGAATGAAATTCTAGGTACCAGCTTGTTACCATCCTTGAGAGAAGTGACAAATCCTAATTGAGAAAGAATGTTCTATAATCTCTCCATAGGTCTTCTCATAAACATCCTGGTTTCAATTACTATGCCAATCAATCAAATTTTGATGGGTAGCTTAGGTTTCTCCTCCTTTTTAGGTACAAAGTGATATTCAAATCTCTCCTAGGATGTTTCAAAGGTATCTCAGACTCAACAGATCAAAGGTAATAGTAAATATGATCTACCCCAAACCCTATATTTTTTCAGTCTTTTCTGTATCTCAGAGATTGGCTTCAATTTTCTATAGAATTAAAGTTCCTTAGAAACAAGGATCCTTTATTTTTTCTTATTATCATATCCTTAGTGACTAAAATGCTGCCTGGTACATAGATTACAATAAAAACTTTTAACTGAATGAATAAATGACTCTAATGGCTCCAGTCAGAAATGAAATATTTGTGAAGTATTAAAAATACTTTCTGGCATATAGTAAATGCACAAAAGAGAATGTTAAAGATTACTGTTTTCAATAATTTAAAGGAAGAGGCATCAGAACTGTTATGAGTAAGAAGTGAAGGCAGAGTAAGAAAATTATAAAGAAACAGACTTCAGAAAAATAACAAAAGACTTTTCAAACAATCAGAGTTCTTTGAACATAGTAAGAAATACCGCAGGGAGTCATGAAAATCTTGCTATTGAGAACTGAAGAGCTATATATTTCTAGATGCATATCTTACAACAGGGGTCCCCAACCCCTGGGCCATGGACCTGTACGGAACCAGACCACACAGCAGGAGGTAAGCAGTGGGCCAGCCAGCGAAGTTTCATCTGTATTTACAGCTGCTCCTCAGTGCTAGAATTACCGCCTCAGCTCCACCTCAAATCATCAGGCATTAGACTCTCTGAAGAGCACAGGTCACTGGTGCCCAAAAGGTTGGGGACTGCTGTCCAAAAGGTTGGAGACTGCTGTCTTACACGACACTCTTCTCTGTGCCAAGGAAACCAAAAAGTATATAATATAACCCATTTCTTCAAAAAGTGTATAATCTAGTTAGGTAAAAGAAATATTAAAAAATTATGCCAAAAAGGATGCTGCATGATTTCAGAGTTCCTACCAATTAGAGAAATTTATAATCAGTTTTTGTTTTGTATGTTATATATATCAAATTATGCCTGCATATTAAATTTTGATATATAATTTTAGAAAAACCTAAAATAAGTACACAAATTAGGATAATGTTGAAAAAAAGATTGTTTCTAAAAAAAATATTTGATGGTCTCTTAAGTGATCAACAGGATGTAATATCATCTGAAAAATGAGCAGTCTCTTACCATTAAAACAGTCTTGGAGGAATCACCAGGGTATCTGAGACTGAATACTCCCAAAGCCCCCAAAAAGCAAAAGAAAGTAAATGTGGCAAGATTTCGAATATCTAGAAATGACTCTATAAGTGGTATTGTTCCCATGGTCCAATCACAGCAGAGCTCTGAAGGATTTAACAGAAGCCAGGCATTCACAGGAAGGAGGTAGTTAAAAGTTAGCTGCCTTGTAGGAGTGGGGCTTACAGCAGCTGGGTTATCAAACCTGTATGAAGGATGAAAAAAATGTCATTCAAACTGAAACACTTCTAAACACAAAATTTAGTAAATAACATAAATAAAACATTGAACAATAATAAAAGCAATATTTTGTATGTAATTTGATTAAACAGAAAACAAATATTTTTTATGAATACCTCAGATTCTTGCCAGAGTTCAAACTGTCTAATCTTTATAAAATGTCTAGTTGAGAGTAATATTCATGAAGAACTGATTGAAGGGGAAGTAGGTTATTTCTAGTTAGTTATTAGCATAATTCATACATGCATACTATAATGAAACTCTGCAGAATACTTTCATTAAATTATGATTCTTATTAAAAGTAGAAAGTTTAATATCCATTGTTTTATTTGTTGTATGAACGCTTCTAAGAACACTAACCAATGTTCATCTACATGAATTTTCTTTTAGTTTTAATTGCTAATGAAAATTATGCTTTTAAAATTATTATGCTTTTCTCTTGTCACAGACAGAGAAAATTTTATAATTTATGAGCCTTTCCTCTTTGCTTACATTTCTAGGGAACTAAAAACCAAATTTCCAGTACAGAGTACAAACTGTATAGGCCTATGTAACATTTTATTTTTGTTCTACTTTTTCTCCCAGTATATATTCATACAAGCTTATTTCCTAGTTTGTATTTCCCCAGGCCATGATATACTTATACTTAATGTACAATTCATTAATTTAGTCTGTTTTCTGAAAACTAAGTCAAATCATATTTTAAAGCACATTTCAAATGAATAATTTAAGAATTTTAGTTCTTTAGGCTATTTCTAAATTTTACTGGCTATATTAACATGTAGTCCTCTAAAAACCAAATTTATCATTTTAAAATGAGTAAGTCAATGAAAAATCAACCTCTACCACTATTTGACTTGGTCTTCTTAAAACTATCAAATGGTTGATAAAAAGTAAATGCTATTTGACAAATTTTTTTTCATAACTGAATATCTATATATATATATGAAAAATAATAAATCTTGAGACTCAAGACTTGAATTCTCAAAATAACCAATAAAACTGAATACAAAGCTATCTTTTTTCCTATAATTCACAATTCAAAGTCCATTTTTTATGATTAAGTTTATTAGGATAGCTGATTTAATAATTGAACTGTAGGTAAAGAATTCATGTGAAAGCATATCAAATCACATTTTAATGAACTTTGCAGGGTAATGTAATAAAGTTTATGTATACAGACATATGTACTTACATATAACACCCCAAATACCCATCCAGACATACACAAAACAAATATATTCACACCTTATCAACCACATTTTCGTACTGTAGAATAGGAGATAGGATAACAAATTCTCTAATAAGAATGATAAACAGAACAGAACAAAAACACTGAAACTAAGAGGTAAAGAAGGAAATATAGAGTATATATTCGATTCAATGTATTTCCCATACTTTAATATTAAAATGAGTTGTTCAGTTTAGTATGGCTAGACGCAAAGGTAAAAGTTTAGGAAGTTGAAAAGCAATTATTCTTTAAAAAAAAAAAATGCTACTGAGAAGGATAATTATATGAAAAATATCACAAAGACAGCATTGAACTTAAGATAATTAATTATCTGAACAAAATTTATTCTAACCAGGGCCAGCAAAGCACTATCATGGATAACAACATGAATAACACATTGGCCTTTTGTTAGGGGGGGGAAAAAAAAAGATTCTTGCTTGTTATGTCAGTCACTTAAATAAAATTGAATAGAGAACTACTATAAATTTCATTTTAAATTTTAGGTGAAGAAGATGAAATGAAAAAAATACTAAATGTTAGAGTAGAAAAAAAATGATATGTAGATTGTTAAAATTTAGGATAACTTTTCCTTCTAGCCTTAAACAACTAAAAACTTGATAAGATATAAAACTTTTTTTTTTAACACACTGTGCATCACACAAAAGACAGTGGTACCTGAGAGAAGGAAGACAAATGAGGGGAGTCGGACCTGAAGAATTTAATCTGTGGAGCTGCAAAAGGGAACCTAGGTGGAGTCCTGTAGTATCTCTAAGTTGAGATGATGAAGCTGAGAGACCTAAGAGCCTAGTGGGCTGGAATTAGTAGGCAGAATATCATCAGCAAGAGGAAAGTTGCTGAGAAAGAAAACTGAGATCTGTAGGTATCTCTCCAGTTTTCAGTACTCATGAGAACTTATCAGCATAACTATGTGAGGAAATACTCGAGGTCAGTGCTGTGGGTTGAATCATACCTCCCTGAAATTAGTGTTTACCCAGCACCTTAGAACGAGATCTTATTTGGAAACAAGGTCTTTGCCATTGTATTTAGTGAAATTAAGATGAGGTCACACTGGATTAGGGTGTCTTAAATCCAATGACTGGTGTTCTTACATGAAGAAGAGAGTATACAGAACAGTGTACAGAAAAGAAGGCCAGGTGAAGATGAAGCAGAGTGGATGATACAGCAACATGGCAAAGAATGCCAAAGACACCAGCAATCACCCAGAAGCTTGGAAAGGGACATAGAACAGATTCTTCCTCAGAGCCTTCAACAGAGCTGACACCTTGATTTTGGACTTCTGGCCTCCAGCACTGTGATAATAAATTTCTGCTGCTTTCAGCCACCCAGTTCCTGGTAATTTGTTGTAGCAGCCCTAGGGAAACTAACATGATTAGGAAAGTACCTCCTGACAAGATTAGATAAAAATTCCCAAATATCATACAGAACTGAGAATAGTTCCGCAGCAGCCAGAGTAGAAATCCTCATAACTCAGTCCATCAGGGAGTCTTGTGTCAGTAATGGAGCAAAGTTAGTCCTAACCTTAATGCTGCTGTGATCTCACAAAACAAAACTTAAAAGCAAGGCTAGAAGATGAAATTTTTTTTTTTTTAAATAAATGCATCCCAGAAAAAAGCTCCAAAATATTTATAGGAATACATTAATGATTCACATATGGCATCTCTTAAAAATTACCAGGCATGGGAAGAAATAGAAAAATACAATTCAAGAGGAGAAAAACTATTCTTCTAAACTGACTAAGAAATGACACAGATAATAAAATTAGTAGACTAACTTTAAGAACTTTAAAGCACTAGAACATGCAGAGACATGGAACACATTAAAATAAAGGCCAAAATAAAACTTTTAGAGATGAAAACAAATGAGATGAAAAATAACTAGAAGAAATTAAGGGCCCATTAGACACTGAAGAAAAAAGATTAGTGAACCCGAAGGCATAGCGAAACAACAACAACAACAAAAAACTAAACAACAACACAAAAAACACCCCACAATGAAAATAGTGGAAAATAGTTTTGAGTGAGAGACTAAATAGAGCATTAGTGTGACAACTTCAAGAAGCCTAATATACATGTAATTGGAATTCCAGAGGAAGACAGGAGAGAGAAGACAGAAAAAATATTTCAAGCATAGCTAAATATTTTCTAAAATATATATAAAGTAAAACCGATAGAGTCTAAAGAGTTCAATTAACTCAAGCACAAGAAACAAGAAGATAAAATAAGCAGTGACTGGAAGTTTGTCCCTTTGGACCATCATCACTCAAACTTTCAGTTATAATATGAGTAAGCCCTGGTGTACATAACACTGTATTATATATTTAAAAGTTAAGAGAGTACATGTTAAAAGTTTTTATCATAAGACAAAAAATCTGTTTGTAATTATATATGGTGATGGATGTTAATTAAACTTATGGTAATCATTTGTCTTTCTATATATCAAATTATTATGTTATACATCTAAAACTAATACAATGATATATGTCACTTAAGTCTCAAAAAAATAAAGAGAAGAGAAACATTGATAAAGAGAAAATACTAAAAGTGTCATAGGAAATGACATACTACATGCAGAAGCAAAAAGAATGATAGAATCTTTTCCACGGAAAACAGTTTAAGACAGAAAATGGCAAAATAACATTTTTATAGTACTGAATGAAAAACAGTCAATGTAGAATTGTGTACTTAGGCATAATATTGTTCAAAAATAAAGGCAAAATAAAGATATTGTTATATATGAAAGCTAAAAGAATTAATCACCAGCAGACCTGTATGTCAAGAAATTTTAAAGTCCTTCAGTCACAAAGAAAAATGTTACCAGTTGGAGATCTTGATCTAATAAAGAAATGAAGAACACCAGAAATGGTAACTCTATGTATCAATATCAAGGGCTTTTAAAAATTATTTAACTCTCTTCCAAAGATAATTGTTTAAAGCAGAAAATAACAACAAAGTATACTGAAGGAAAATGCATATAAATACCACAAAGAATAAGTCCTTATTTATAACAATTTTATATATTTACATAAGAATTTATTTATTATACATATGCTTATACTACATATGCTAACATTTATACTATATATACTTGCGATTATAATATTCCTTGAAGATAAACTGCGATAAACAAAGGATGTATACCAAAAAAGCCTAAACCAATCACTAAAAGAAATCATAGCAAAGATTTATAGTTAATAAGCCAATAAGGAGATAAAAATGGAATAAAAAAATACTCAATCCAAAAGGAGGAAGAAAGAGAGAAAAACAGGAACAAAGAGATGGGGCAAAGAAAACAATTAGCAAGATGGGAGGTTCACATCAATTAATCATACTAAATGTAAAAAGTTGAAACACCTCAATTAAAAGATATTATCTGACCAAACAAAAAAGGAAGACCCAAATATATGCAGCCTATAAGATATCCACTTTAAATATAATGATATAGATGTAAAAGAAGTAAAAGCACGAAAAAAGATAAACTATCTGACACTAACGAAACATAGCTTGGGTGGCTGGCTATATTAAGAACATGTAAACTTCTGAGTGAAGACTATTATTTGGGATAGAGAAGCTCATTTAATAATAATAAAGGGATCAATTTATCAAGAGGAAATTGTAATTCTAAATGTTTATGCACTTAATAATAAGAGTTTTAAAACACATGAAGCAAAAATTAATTCAACTGCAAGGAAAATCTACAATTATAGTCAGAAATTTCAACGCTCTTAATTACTAATAGAACAAGCAGACAAAAATCACTAAGGATATAGAAGATTTAACACTTAACCAATCTGAGGATCACTATTATTTTGATTGTGGTAGTTGAGTGTACACATTATCTCAAAATTTATTAATTTGTACATTTTAAGTATATGCAGGTTTTTAAAAAATATTATTACTCAATAAAGCTGTTAAAAACCCTCAATGAAAATCAAAGACTTTCTGAAATATTTATAATCATTTAAAATCTAAAGATAATTTTAAAAGGATGGAAAAACAACAATAACAACAAAAAACAATAGAATTCATACCTGGTAAATACTGGAAGTTGGGATTGAATAACCTGGACTCTAATCACAACAAGTAATAGTGTACTGAACATCAAAACAATGAGTTTTATTAGTGTCTGCAGCATAGAAAATGGAATGCCACCCTTTCCACGGAGAAACTGTCCAGCAGTAGTACATAATAATGGCAGAGTATACTGGGAAAGGAAAAAAAGTTTTAAATAAATAAAAATATACTACAGTGTTTTCAATAATGGAGTACTTTCTAAATGAAGACAGAAATTGACCATGATAAAATCAATATGGAACAGTCTGTGAAAATGATAAAAGATAAAACTGAAACCACTAATCTTACCAATAATTAATAATATTGTACAATATTACTGTGTATTTTTCCAAGTTACTTAACAATTCCGTTATTGATACTTGAAAATCAGTCTTTTAAAAGCTGAAAGTGTTTTAAAACATTAATTTTCAGTGAGTATAGGAAAAACATGCATATTTCTTGCAAATTTTTGGTATCATTGGCAAACAGATTTATAAAATGATATACTTAGAAAATAAGTTTATTATAGCAAATAGGATTCAAATGGGAAAAAAGATAGCGACCAGAAAATTTATTTCTCCTTACCCCCTGGGCAATAAATACTTCATACACACAGCAAATTCCCACAACTGTTATTCCTTGTTCTTTACACAATGTTGCAACAGCCACTAAGAACACAGTCAATGCAATTGGAGTCCACACTGCAATTTAAGAACAGAAAAATATAAAACTACACAAAACAATTTTATAATATCACAAAAGGATATTTTAAGATAGACAACTATTACGCATTACTAAAAAACTTTACTTATGATTCTATATTCATATTTGCATTATTTACCATTGACATACCTTATATTTTAAAATGTATTTAAATGATGTAATTTTTGCTTTAAATATTCAAAACGAAACATAAAACAAAATTTGAACTAAAAAATTTTTTGTAGAAAGGAAAATTATCTAACCAATACTAACTTTTAAAGTAGGGTAGACAATATAGAGAAGAGAAACGTTAAAGCTTGAATGTCATGATTAAAGAACTATCAATTTGAAATAAGAATAAATAACTGAAATTATCAGACAAGTGTCAAATACTTCATTTATTAAAAACTTGAAACTGAAAACTACTGGACAAAATAGAGTACTATCGTACTAAAAAAGAACTATAAAAACAAACAGGTTAATAAGCATTTAAATTAATACTATTCTTTTAAAAACTCACAATAGAATATTCGCAAGTTCTACTTAAATAAAAAACTTACTTTATCAACTTTAAGTAAATATGCACTACTTAGTAGTAATGTGATTAAAGAAAAATGAATTGTGAGAGTAATTCTAGATCTACTACTAACTTAAGTTGCTTTGTGACTTTGGGGAATTGTTCTGAGCTTCAGTTTTCTTATTGGAAAATATCATCTCTTTTTTTTCCAGTTAAAAAAGAAAAAGCTAGTATGATTGTGTGACCTCAGTTTTTATTAAGAATATTAATCAAAGCAAAAACTCAAATAATTAACTTAAATCCAGGAGTAAATAAGAACACAACTCTGAATCTAATATATTTTCTTTTGGCATTGTGCTTAATGCAGAAACTTGTCTATTTTTGAAATTGTGTTTTAATTTTAAAGTACTCTATAAACTAAAATGACTGAAAGGAAAAACAACTTTAAAAAACCCCAAAACAGTGGTGGGGATAGTAAGTATAATTGTATTCTTTGCTCAAAAAAAGTGTCATATTCTAGTTAGACCAAAATCATCAATGTTAATGGACTAGATTATACCAAGGGCTGAAATACCATGCTAAATTCAACAAGAATTTCATAAAGGAAATAAATTAGTATATGATTATTTATACAACAAGTTGAACCTAAAGTTGGATTTTTAAGGATATCTAGGACATGAAAAAATTGGGAAAGGAGTACATATGAGTAAAGGAGTAAAGGAGGAATAAGCTTGGCAGATGAATGATATGGAGAATAAAAAACCTGGTGGTTATAGATATATTAAAAATTAGTAGAAAATAATGATTTTGAAAACTTATTTAAAAATATATCAAGTGTTTATATGACCAGTAAAATCTCATTTATACGGTCATTAAATCTCAAAATCACCCTATGCATAAGAGGGCAGATATAATCATACCCATTTTAAAGACGAGGAAAGAATTTTGGAGGTTTAAAAATAGTTGTGAACCATAAAGAGACTATGACCTGAACTTGGTTCTTCTCATACTAAATTCAGAGAATCATCCTAATTTATATTTCCACTCCAAGGAAGAGAAAGCAAATGGTTGCCTTCCATAAGGTTGGATTCAATCTCAGCAACTAATAGCTCTAATAAAGGCAAAGCTTTACTGAAACCAGTTACTTCAGTTCTTCAATTCTTAGTTATAAATTGATTTTTATAATCGGATCTCTGCAGTTAAAGTTACCATGCGTGATTTTGTCCAAATACCTCTGCTAAATAAGTTAACCAAACAAAAAAATCTCTAAGTACAGAGTTATTTCAATCATTAAAATCAAATCCAATTTCAAAGTATAGGTTACTAATTTTACATGTGTAAAGATAACATACTTTCAGCAATCATGTATTCAAATAGTTATTTTAAGTATCTACTATATTTTGTGATGGAGAGTGATAATAAACAAGTAAAGATATATTTTGTCAAACAGTGACCTAAGCGTTACAGAGAAAAATATAAGATGAAGAGAAATAAAAACGAGTGAGGGAGATAAGTGGTGCTCATGACATTTGAGCAGAAACCCAAAGTAATGGAAAAGCAACTGCAAAGGCCCTGAGATGGATCATGCTTATAAAAAAGATAGGAGAATGAATAACTTGGAATTTAAAGTGATTAAATAATTACAAAGTAAAAATCACTGCATAGTACAACATACATTAGACAGACGGGGGATATAAAGATGATGATGAAACTATCTGTGGTCTCAAGCGTAAAATTATGTAATGTGGAATAAGCAGCAGCATAAGTGTTAAGAGGATAGAGAGGTCCAAAGCAGGTTTCAGCACCTTTTCAATTAGAATTTAAAATATAATACATTTATGTACTTGACCATTTCCTCAACAAATATATACTGAACACCTACTATGTACCAGGAACCATTCTAGGAAATGGAGAGAAAGTTATCTACCTAAATGCAGGTTATATTCTATTGCGAAAGAAGAAACAAGAAAAAGAAATATGTAAATCATGTATTTTCAGGTTAGAAATGAGTCTTTTGAGAAATGCAGGTTAAAGGGGAAAGAAAGTAACATATTTGGTTTTTGTTTTGGTGAAGTGGTGAACCAGCATGATCCACTGGCTCCTTTCCCAAAAATCAACCCTCGAAGATCGAGAGGAACTATGGCTTCAAAGATATTAAAAACAAAACAAAACAAAACAAAAAACACAACTCAAAAAACTAATTCTTGGACATTGAAGGTTATCTTAAATGTGTCTGTGGGGGTATTATGAAAGACTGCATCTAAAGCAGAAGAGTGAGAAAAAATTTAACTTCTGCTCTAGCCAATCCAGACTGCCTTGGATAGATCACTGTCTGCTCCTTTATTGTAGAATCTGCAGCTACACTAGCTTGTGAGTGTCCATGTGGTTAAATCAGAGCATTTCACAAGGTTCACTGAGTTAAAAAGTAGGTTTTATTTTAAAAGGTACAAATTGGCCAACCACTCTTAGGCAGTCATTTGTACACACACATCCCATCTAAATGCAGAGGAATGGTGGACTGACCTTTTAATTTTGCTTAAACAATATAATTCACAGCCTTCAGAGATGTTATTTATCCACAGAAAGACAACTAAAGTATTGGTACTTGTATCATTTATAGGTAATAGCTGATGGAACTAAGAATGACTCTAAAAATCCTATGTTCTAGGGTAATTTTTAAAAAGTTAGATCATAAAAATTCTGATAGTCAAGATAAAATATAGACTATACTCAAAAAATTTTAATGACATTGCATACTTTCATAAGTCCATACATGCTAACGTAGTATAATATGTAAAGACAAACCACAAGTGTAGCATGTTACTTAGATGCACTAAAAGTAAATAAAATTACTTGATCAAGTTTTACAGCTATAGAAAAAAATTAAATACTAGATATTTACCTATGGAATTATCTGGTCCTTTTGATTTGGTATATGACAAAAATGCAGCTAGAAAAAAGATAGATGACAAAAGTTCTGCTCTTCCCACAACACCTGTTACCTAGGAAAGGAAAGGAGTGGAGGTCACATTAATGAAGAGCATCTTGAAAATTTAACTATATATAATAGCAACAGCACTTTAACTAGCAACTAAATTGCTATAACTTTTCAACTGTACATTTCTTTCTTAGACATTCTTTGAGTGCCCTCATGTGGTGAATTTGTAGATCTTCCATAAAAATAAATTTATCAGAGATTCAGTTCTTTTATTAGCACTACTATTTTGAAGTAGTTACATACACAAGAAGTTGCAAAAATGGTACAGAGATCCCCTGTAATATTATATAATTATTGTACAATATTTAGAATAGTTCTTAATATAAAATAAGAAAAAAACTAAATACTTGTTACATATTCTCTTAAAATACAAGTGTTCTTAATATACGAGGTACTATTAAGTTACATCTCATAATAAACCTGCAAATTCAAATTTAAAAAGATAATGTTGAAAGTCCGTTTAAATTCTAGAAATTTGAATATAAAACACCAAGCCTCTCCCTTAAAATATTCTGAATTCACTGCAAAATTTAAAGCAACCTATCATTTTTCTAAGTTTATGGAAAAAAGCCTGTCTAGCTAGACACCACAAAAGGTTCAAGTAGTGGCAGAGACACACAATCTCCCTCCAACCCATCCCCAACACACACACACACACACACACACACACACACACACACACACACACACACACTCTTTAAACATAATCTTTTGGTTTCAACCAAAATGAAATAATTGAACAGAGTCTTCTTTGTCCTGCTAAGAGGCAATTCTGGAGTTTCCAGATTAATAGGAAAAAGAGTTTGAGTATGACTTGGTAGGTAGGGGCTGACCAACACATGGCAACAGCAGAGACAGTTCACAATTTTGAAACACATGGAAATGACAGTATGAAACTACTGAATATCATCATTTGTTAGGATGTCTGTTCATGTTTGCAAATATTTTGATATATTTTCATCCCTTACTTAAACTCGCCTTATTATTTTCTGTCCTCTGAAACACAAACAAGGCCAAACTGACAAATATTTAAAATCTACATGCATGAAATAATTAGCAAAGGATAGAACTGTATTCATTTACATGTTACATTACTAATGCTAATACTCATCATATGTTCTTGAATAAGAAATGTTTGTATTTCAAACTTTTAAATTAATTTTTTTTAATTCTAAAAGTTATCATTTACTTAACCAAGAATCATTAATACAAAATTTTAGATACTGGAGGTTCTAGGAAGTATACTTGAATTTTTTTTCCTGTCTTATTGAAATATAATAGACAATTAGTTGCTTGTATTTACATGTACAATTCAATTAGTTTTTTTCTCAATTATATTTGGCATGTAATATGTCAGATTTTTCTATAGCATAGTGATCAGGGATCCACATAATTCGCAAAGTGATCACCCCACTAAATCTAGTACCCCTCTTCCCCCTTACATATTTATTAATTAGCCATCTTCCCCATGCTACACTCTACATCTCCATGCCTATTATGCAACTATCCTTTTGTACCTCTTAATCCCTTTGCCTTTTTTCCCCGTCTTCCCCATCCCCTTCCCATCTAGTAGCCCTCAAAATATTCTCTGTATCTATGAATTTCCGTTTGTTATTGTTGATTTTGTCCTTTAGATTCCACATGTACGTGGAATCATGTGATACTACCCAACCCATTTCGTTCACTGCAATACCCTCTAGGTTCATCAAGGCACTTTCTCCATTCCCTTCTTTTTAGTCTGTGTTTTTTAATCCAAAGTGAGTCTCTTGTAGGCAGCATATGTAGCAGTCCTATTTTCTTATCCTTTCAGCCACTCTTTTGGTTGGAGCACTTAATTCTTTTCCATTTAAGGTACTTGTTGATAGAAATGTAGTTATTACCATCCTTTATTCCTGTTTTTGATACATGTTCTTTCTTCTTAAAGAAGTCCTTCCAGCATTTCCTGAATAGCTTGGTATTGATAAATTCCTCTAGCTTATTTTTGTCTGAGAAACTCTTTATCTGTCCTTCAAATTCAAATGATATCTTTGCTGGATAAAGTATTCTTGGTTGTAGATCCTGGGTCTTCATCACATCGAATATTTTGTGCCAAGCCCTTCTGTCCTACATAGTTTCTTTTGAGAAATCAGCTGCAGTCTTATGAGTGCTCCCTTGTACGTAACTGCTTTTCTCTTGCTGCTTTTAAGATTCTCTCATTGTAGTTAACCTTTGGCATTTTAATTATGTGTCTTGTTGTAGGCCTCTTTGGGTTCCTGGTTTTTAGGACTCTCAGAGCTGCCTAGGGTTTTATATCTATTTCCTTCATGAGGTTAGGGAAGATTTCCATCATTTCTTCAAATAGCTCTTCAACGTCTTGTTTTCCTTCAGGTACCCCTATGACATTTTTACCTTTAATAGTGTCCTGTAAGTTCCTTAAATTATTATTTTAGTCTTGGCTTCTTTTTTCTTGCCATTCCGATTGAGTTTCCTTGGCTTTCCCATTCTCTATTTATGTCAATCACCTTCACTCTTGTTCCATTTAATATACTTTTCATCTCAGATAATGTGTTCATTTCTGACTGGTTCCCTTTTATAATTTCCATTTTTAAAAAATTTTTTTATTTTAATTAGTTTCAAGTATACAGTACACTGTTTAGACATCTATATAGTTTGTAAAATGATCCCAATTGCTCCCTCTCTCCCAACCCTCCACCTAACCAACATATTAACGCTAACTGCATTCCCTAGGCTATGCCCCATCCCCATGACCATCATGAGCTACTACTCTGTACTTCTTTAACCCCTTACCCCATTCTTCTAGGCCCCCAAAGCTCCCTCCCCTCTGTCCGGCACTAAATTGTCCACTATATTTGTGAGTCTGTTTTTGATTAGTTTGTTCTTTTTATCCCTTAGATTCTGCATATAAGTGAAATCATATAGTGTTTATCTTTCTCTGACTTAAATACCTTCTAGGTTCATCAAAGCAATATCTTTTTCCATCCCCTTCCTTTTCATATGTAGGGGTCTTGTTTAATCCTTTCAGCCACTCTATCTTTTGGTTGGAACACTTAATTCATTTCCATTTAAGGTACTTATTAATAGGAATGTAGTGGTTACTATTCTTTATTCCTGTTTTTGATACATGTTTTTTTCTTCTTAAAGAGGTCCCTCCAACATTTCCTGTCTAGCTTAGTGGTGATAAATTCCTTTAGCTATTTTTGTCTGGGAAGCTCTTTATTGTCCTTAAACTCTAAATGCTAACTTTGCTGGATAAATTATTCTTGGTTGTAGATCTTGGGTCTTCATCCTCCTTTTCCATTTTTGTTTTTTATCTCTTTGCTAAAGTTCTCACTGAATTCATCTACGTTTCTCCTAAGTTCATGAGTGTCTTTCTAACCAGTGTTTTGAACTCTGCATCTGTCAGATTGCTTGACTCTATTATTTCTGGATCTCTGCTCTCTTCTGTCATATGGTTTCTGCTTCTTTTTCTTCCCATTTTGGCTACCTGTGTCTGTTTCTATGTACTAAGCAAAGCTCCTAAGTCTCCCGGTCTTATTAGTGTGGATTTGTGAAGTTGATGTCTAGTGGCACAGTCCTGAGAGGGGTTCAGCTGCAGGCCAAACTTAGCCCAAGCCTCTACCTCTCTGGGGCCACCTGTCAAGATTCAGCAAGCAATCCACAGATGCTGTGATTACAGTTGTCTCACAAGGCCATACCAGAAACCGAGGGCAGCTGCCTACAGTGTGAGTACAGGTGTTGCTCAGCAAAGAGCATCTGATTCCCTGAGGATACACCTGAATGTGGCTTGGGTGGGGCCATGAGTTAGAGGAGCCAGAGTTTCAGGGAATCCTCTGGGTGGAGTGACCTGTTATCCAGTTTGATGCCATATCAGTTATGGAGGTGCTGAGTTTGCACAATGGGAGCGGGGAGGGCTCAAAGAGAAACAATGGATACTGCTGGCACTTCTGTACAGAGTAAGTCTTGCCTAAGCCCTCACTCCAATAACTCAGTGTCCGCTCCCGTAAGTCTCTGGTGCTCAGAGCGAGCAGTTCCATCACCGTGGAAGTCTGCTCGTGGATGCGGCCCCTTTAAGAGGCATCTGCTGCTGCCGCTGCTATGGCCTCAGTCCCTCTTAGCTGCTCAGTGGTCAGCCTTGCAACCTTGCCCCATTCTACCTCCTCCCGTTGCAGGGTGATTTCTTATTTGTCTCCCTAATTGTTAGGTTTGTTCATCTAGATCCCACGTGATTTTCTTTGCTGTTTGCTCCTTGTTTGTGTCACAACTTTGATTTGGTTGCCAGAGGGATGAATAGAGGCTTTATCACCTATACTTTTTCCCCTAAATTAAAAAACTTTATGTAGTAGGAAGTTAAGACTCTATCCACTGGAGAGTTAAGACTTATTGCAGTAATTTTAGGGTCTTCAAATATTTGGATTAAAGTCAGGGTTAAATATTTTTCTTAAAAATATATACCATTATAATCATTGTGTCGGGACTGTAAAAAAAAGATGAAATAAACATTAATTTACAGTTTTACTTACTGCTTCTGTGTGTACTGGGTGCACTGCAAAAAGTAAAGAAGCAATCACACTACTCTTGTTGTCCAGAAAAAGTCTGCAGACTTTAAGAAATATCACACTGACTGCAGCATGAAAAATCATATTTAGGAGATGATATGACATTGGTTTCAGTTCACTAAACAGATAATTTAGGCGAAATGTCAATACTGTTAAGGGACGATAAGACTTGTGACTTCTCTCCTAAGGGAGAAAACAATCATCGATTACTGAAGTATCTTGGTCCTTCTGGGTATACAAACTAATCATTTTATTTACTAGTAAAAGTATATTTGGCTAAGAAATAACAATAAAATAAAGGAATGCCCAAGAATAACACAAACATAAAAGACAGTTTTATAATCTGTGTTTCCTATTTCTTCAGTTCAAAAACTAGGCAACTTCCTCTCTGATATGTAGTGTTCAAGAGAAGTAACAGTAGAGTAAGAGCATTTGACTATTCATTCCTCTTAAATATAGAAATTTTAAAAAAGAGTAGGAAGATAGTGGCATTAAGTTTGAGCATAGGATGCTCTCCAAAGCCTGCTCCCCAAATTACTACTAATACAAGCATTTTCTTACTGCTGGCTAGACCCTCAACTGGAAATAAAATGGAATGCTTACTAGTACAGTTTAAATAGTAAAAACAAAAAATACTGTTAGTTGTTTCATGAAAAAACACCTCCATAAATCCGAATATATTAAACCAAAAATCCCCAAAGTAATACAAGAGCAAAACTTTTCTAAGAATAAGAGAATAGACATCTTTGTTACTATAGTCTCTATTGGCAGTAAATCAAATTTCAAATAAAGTACCGAATTTCTTAATAAATCAGAAGTTACATATAACCAGAAATATTTTTACTTTAGACAAAATCAAATCAAATTTAAGAATAAAACATACAGATGAAAAATACATAAAATATTATCCTTCTTTAACAGCTACATTGGCACAAAAATCCTTACAAAGTTTTGGATGCCTGCACAGGCTTCCAGGCTATCATTACTTGATGATATCAATGATTAGGTCTTTGTGCTAATTCCAGGCTTGCCCAGAAACCTTATGGCATACAAATATTCAAAATCTCAATGTCATGATTAAAATCACAAGAGACACTGCCATAAGACGGGGAAATGGGCACATATTTCTGGGGGTCTCTGGTGATAAAGGGTAGGGGTCTAGGGAAATCAATTATTTAGAAAATAATGTATAATTTGACATTTTCCTCTTGTTATCAAAAGATGTATTTATTTTTTTAAAGGCTAGAATTGAGTGAGAACAGTAAGGCTGCAGAAAAATAAAGTCTGCTTATTTTAATAAGAAAAACTACTTATTATGTGCTTGTGACTAGGGGAATGATTACATTTCCATGCTTGAGAAACTTTCAAATTTGGAAAATGTGGAAATAGGCCATGAGTGATGACTGTCAAAATATATGAGAATGTTATATATTATGTTTCAACAGTGCCGGGTACTGTAGATAATCAATTTATTTATCCTCAAGGTATTATTATTTTATAGATTAGGAAAGTGACATGCCATCTAAAAGCTTTATTCTCACCTATTTCACACAGCTATTATATAATAGAACTAAAATTAGAATACAATCAATATGATCCCAAACTGACAAAGATTTAATCTCAGTTTAACCCTGACCTTCAAAATACAATATTTTATACTGAGTTCTCAATATAAAATCAAAATAACTATTAGGTAAGAGATATGACACATTTAAAATTTATAATAAATCACTTTTTTTCCTGCAGAAAAATTGGAGATATGTTTACTTATAAATTTTACCCTTAAAGTCTAACTCATATTAAGGTTATGTGTATTTTTTAAATGGTTAAATCTACCACAAGTAGTCATCTCTTTTGCCTCACTCACAAGAGACAAAAAAGAGAAATAAAGTCACTTAGCAAGAAAAAGACTTGTATTGCATCTATTGTTTCCCTAACACATTTGCTTTTCACACATACATGTTAAAAAGATTAAGTAAAGGTATGTAGCTAAGGGAAAAACAAGTACTACTTTAAAGAAGATAATCTTCAACTCCCTAGCTAATATATTACAAACATGTTATAGCTCATAAAATTTTGTGGAGAAAATCCATTAATTGCTATGATGACATGGTTGACAGAGAATAAGGAGTAATAAACTACCAAAATATTTTAAAATCTGAGATTCATGTAAGTAATACATAATTACTTACCTCAGACATAGGGGTTCCCCAGAAATCATTCTGAAATAAAGTTTTTAAAGGTGTAGATGGATGCAGATCTTTATTATCTAGTATTGCTGAAACATCATCAAAAACAAAACCACAAAAGAGGCTGTTCCAATAGCAGGCAGTAACCACACCTACTATTAAGGTTACTTCTTTGAGGTTAATATCAGCCATCTTTGCCATAAGCACTTGTACACAAAATCTGCAGAAAAAAAATTGTGAAGATAAAATGAAATAAGCAACATGGTTTTTTTTTTAAATAAATTAATTTAATGAATGATAAGTAAAATAAATATTAAATGCTAATTCTTCCAGAGAAGTAATTCTTCGAGGCTCAGCTCAAATATCACCACCACCCCAAGAAGGATTAACTGATTACCTCTCCTTTATTCCTAAGAATTAATTGCTCCCTCAGTTGTGTTTTCAAACTTCTATTACAGTCCTTTATCTCATTTAATCTTTGGATGTATCTCTCTAGCTAATAAGATAGTGAACTCCTTAGTAACTGTCGCAGGTCAGGTTACCTGGGAAATACATATATATATATATAAAGATAACACTAAAAAAACTAGTAGGATATGCTCTAGCCGTACCTATATGAATCTTGTGAGAAAACGAATATTTGAAAAGACACCAATCATGGGTTTTCTGAAATGTAGAGGAAGCTTACATTTTAATATTTTATAAATCTAAAAATTATTACCTAAATCAGGGCCCAAATTGTAGCCTGCAGCCTTGCTCAGTTTGATCAAAAGCCTTTCAAAAATATTTGTCTTGAATGCCTTTACCCTAGCCAGTTAAACACAGTCCTATTGTCTTTCAGCCAGATAGATTTATTTGATTGATTTGTTATCTACTTGGCCTTTGGGGTATATGAGTTTATAATCCAGATCTAAATCCTGGTTTTCTTTTTTCTCATTAATCAATCTAGAGAATGAATGAGCTTTATACAAGACAATCTACAATTAAGTCATTGCTTAGAAAGGATTCATTTAAAGAATGATTTAGAGTAGAAAGGACTATATGGACTGGAAAATAGTGAAGAATCAACCCTAGGATAAAAATAAGGCTGAAAGGTACTTTATACTTTCCTTGAGTAGTATCATTAGCATCATTTTAGTGTTATCGCTTGTAGAGGGCCAAATAATGGCCCCCCAAATTGTCCATATCCAAATTCCATCAACCTGTGAATATGTTACCTTACATGCAAAAGACTTTACAGCTGTGATTAAATTGAGGATTTTGAGATGAGATTATCCTGGGTGGGCCAATTCAATAGCAAGAGACCTTATGAATAAAAGGAGTTAAGAGTCTAAAAGCAGAGGACACAGTGATATATTATGTCTGGCTGGAGATGACAAGCCAAGGAATGAGGACAGCCTCTAGTAGCTGAAAAAGACAAAGAAACACACTTTTCATTAGTTTCCAAAAAACTCACAGCCCTACTGACATCTCAGTTTTAGTCTAGCGAGATCCATTTTGTACTTCTCATCTACAGAATTGGAAAATAATGTGTTATTTTAAGCTATTATGTTTGTGATAATTTGTTACAGCAGCAATAGAAAACTAATACATCACTGAAAGAGCTAGATGATCTGAGTCCTGAGGTATATCTTAGGAGTTCCGGTCAGATCAAAGAGGAAGAATACGGTAGAAAGGGTTGGTAGAGATTTAAAATCATATGTAAGATTTTGTGGACAAACAAGGAGGTGTGTGCAAGTTCGCTGACCAAAAATAACCTCACAGGTAATCTGATCATAAATTCCAAACTAGAAAGGTTATGGTGGGGTCATGCTCCAGGCCTATAAAAGGTTAATCTGCACCTTAAATAAACCCTGTCCATTGTTTTTGTGCACACTTTTGAAATGCCTCGTTTTCAGACTCCTTGGAGGCATAACTGACCTCCAGGGCGCACATAATATTGTTCACAACATTGGATGAAAAAGTTCAGTGAACAAAAGTAACCTCCTAGGATGATCCGAGGTAACTTTGCTTTCTCCCACCTTCATGTAATCTTCCTCATGTTCCTTTATGACAAATGTATAAGAGAAATTGCAAAATTGTCATTGTCTGGAGCATTTGAGATCTTGCTTCCCAGCAACATCATCAGTTTGGCTCAAATAAACTTTTATATAAAAATTCTCTACAGGTTTGGATGTTTCTTACATTGATAATTTATATAAGGTTATACAAGAACCTATGGAAAAGTATTAAAGTATCTTTAGAATCAGATAGGAAAACCTTAGAATATATTACTTTCTAAAGAAATGCAAAATTCAATCAAATAATCAGGAAAGGAAATTACTTGTACCTTTTGAAGAAATATAATTTAATATAATTAAAAGAAAAATTGTGTTAGGGCTTCTCTTTAATCCAGAAGTGACTTACCATCTCTAAACAGTATAGACTTGTATACACTTATTATCACACAAAAAAAGTTGACGGTGCTTGTTTAAAGATTGGAGAGACTGAACAGGTATTTATTTGTCTCAGCTTCTTCCCGAACGTACTAAAAATGATACTAAAGGTATCAATAAATAAAAAAAGCTAAAAATTCACAAGAATGAAGACAATTGGAAAGGGGATAATAGCAAAATTTGGAAGCTGGAAAGGCAAAAATATTAGTCAGTCAACAAAGTTCAGGAAAGTGAATCCTAAGCTGAAAGGGAGAAAGCTGAAAGTTTTCTCCACTTCTGCCAGCATAAATCTCAAAAACTGGCACCAAGGATCTTAATAAAACAAACAGCAAAGATAAATTTGCAAAGTTTAGACCATTCTCTCACTGGATACAAAGCCAAGTAACCTTCTCTCCTACAGCAAGGCAGAAGACTAGGGACTTCCTCTCTCTAGTAGGTGAAACACAGAATGTTCCCTTTGGTACAGGGAACACAGGTGAGAACAAAGGTAGCATGCTGAAAGCCCGACAATGAGGGTTAAGTAAAAGTCTGTTTTTATTTTGAGACCCTCCACCTCTCTTCTATCAACTGGGGTACAGAATCTGAAATTTTACATCACTGAAAACAAAGAGGATTCTAAAAGCTTTCAGGAAGAAAGAAAGCAAGTTCCATACCAAAGATAAGGAATCCAAACAAATCTTGTTTTTCCACCAACAACACTGGAAGCTAGGGAGAAAAAAAAATCCATAAGACAAAAAGGGAGTAATATTTCAAATTTCTGAGAATAATTTCCAGCTTAAAGTTCTGTATTAGTAAAGTAGAATTTCCCAAGTGTGAAAGTAGGATTAAAAATATTTTAAGATAGTCAAGGTCTCAAAAACTTATCTCCAATGTCTCCCTTAAGAGAGTAACTCTAATTAACAGAACACCAGATGTATTTAAATACACTGAGTGAAGAACTATTTTACTCTAAAATCTGTGTGTGTGGGTGTAATTGCAATTCAGAAAAACGAAACAACTCAGGACATCCACCACTGGGTAGGAACAAAGTTTTGTGTACAAACCAGAAATCTCTCAAAGTAATATCTATCAAGTCTCTGACTTCTAACACTTGAGATGACAAAACTGCTGTTGGGTTCAATGTTTTCACCATAGGAAAGTTTAAAATTAACAGAGGAAAGGAAGTAAATTAAACCTGTGGTTTTAATAACTTGAAATTATATCTAGGAATAACATGTATTTGATTTTTAGAGTACTTATAATGTTTAAGAGAATTTGCTACACACTGAGACTGACAATTTAAAATACCATATGTTACAATAATATAATACGCATAATATTAAATTATTTATCATGCAACTTCTACATTTAGGACTTCTGGCTAAAAAGTAAAAGAATTTTTAGCCAAGTTTACAAATAGTTCTGGAATTTTTATAACAACTTGGGAATTGCTTTGGTGTTAAGTTTAATTTATAAAATTTAAGTACTGAGAAAGTTCTGCTTAAGTCAGTCATCTGAAGTCTTTGAATAAAAATATATATATTAGAATTATAAATGAAGTTTTAAATTAAGGCAATTTAACCAAATTTTAAATGTAGCTTATTAAAGACATTTAGTCTTTTTATTTGAAGTTACTTATTTTTTTTTTTTTAATAGAACTGACATGTTATATTATAAACAGAATACTTTTAGGTTGAATTTAAAGACTTAAAGAACACAAGGTTATAAAAATATTACTTAAACTTGGACAGATCCCATGATTTCTAAATATAGTTAGGTAATAAAATGTCATGCAGTTACTTTAAGTTGCAAAACAGTTTCATTCAGTAATTGAAACGCTCAATTCCAACATAATAATCAACTCTCTAAACTTGATTTAACTTTGAGGACTGTCCTCTGCTCCAGGCTTGAGCTCACTGGCTCATTTTAAGTAAGTACGTTAAGTGTGTGTGGATGTTTCTTATGTTAGGTGTTCCTGGGGTCTCTTATGAGCTTATAGTTAACCTGCTTAAGGCTAGATATCTAAAGGGTAGGTGTCTCAATTTAGAAAGCTAGTCTCTGCTACCTGTGGTCATATCCTCTAGTTACTAGAGTTTAGTAGGTTAACCTGAACTGCTTTAAATGGTGATCTCAGGAGAGCAGGAGTGTAAATCCCAATGCACAAGCTCTTTTCAAGTCTCTGCTTACTGTGTGTGTGTGTGTGTGTTTCTTTTTACTATCATGCAAGCAAGGTAAACCCAGAATTCATGTGGGAGAGGTTAGAAAAAGGGCCAAATAATAGAACTTTTTAAAGATTCTCCAAGGGGATCATATTATGAGAGAAAAGGAGAGCTAGTTCTCATGTATGTCATAAACTTAGTTGTGGAGCTATCTCAGGTTCTGTTCAAAATAGGTACCTGCAAGGGTAGAGGTTAAGGAAAAGGGAGAGCATTACATAAGAGTATACACAGAGGGAGGCATGATTCACTAGAGGCCATTATGGTAATAATGTAACACATCGCTGTTCAATGTTAGTTGCAGGACTTCTAAAGACCGGGTATTTATGTTTCACAAAATTCAGGTTAAATCCTAATACCCAATGTGATGACATTTTGAGGTGAGGCCTATGGGGAATGATTACATAACAAAGGTGAGGCCTTCACGAAAGGATTGAGTGCTCTTATAAAAGTGATCCCTTGACCCTTTTGCCATGTGAGGACACAGCAAAAAGACACTCTCTCTGAACCAGAAAGTGGGTCCTCAACAGACAATGAATTTGCTGATGCCCTGATCTTGGAATTACCAGCCTCCAGAACTGTGAGAAATAAATTCCTGTTGTTTATGAACCACCTAATCTAGGGTATTCTGTTAAAGGCAGCATAAAGAGCTTAAGACAGGGAACTTCAAGTTTTTCTTCTAGGCACGTATGTATTTCCACACAGATACGTATGGTCTGAGTGGATGGGATGATTGATCTGTTTGCTTACAAAAATGGGATGTCACTATATATGTGCAAAAAATCCAACTGCAAATGGAGATCACTCATGAGCTATATTACAGACATATAAAACAATATAATTTTTTCAACAAAATTGTACTAAGTGTTACTTTTTCTAATACGACAGTACAACTATGGAAAAAACAAACATGTAAGAAAAGTTTATATGAATCTAGGAATATTTAGCCTGAAAAAGAAAGTCCTCTCAGTTCAATAATTTCACAATTATATCTTTCTCAATAAGAACAATCTACTATATTTTATTGCTACTTTATAGTTCAAAAAACTTTGGCACACAAAGTTTGCAAAGTTTGCATTCACACTGACTCCTACTAATCTTTCCAGTTTCCTCAAGTTGAGAGAAGACAAGTGTCTGCTTGCTCTACACCGATTCCTCTCCATGAGAACAAGGCAAAACAAAACATTTACTATACATGGTGGATACTAAATTTTTCATGGGCTTGCATGTTTTTAGACACTAGAAAAGTAAGCTCATTTTCTTGATAAGGCAGCAAAAAGGCAATGGGAAGTAATATCTAAGGAACTCAGGTTGATTGCTACAGACAACAAGTAACAATTATAGAAGGCGAGTTTTTCTTGTGAAGTGATTTTGGTCAGATAAAATTGCTCATAAAACCACAGAGAAGAAAGAAGGCAGGTCCAGGCCAGTATTCCAATAACAAGGGCATTTATAAAATTGTCACATAAGTCCTTTCTCTTGGTGAAAACTGAATGATGCAGAAAATTTGATGAAAAATAATGGTGAGTTTTAGTGATTTTGCTCAAAATCAAAGGGAGTGACCAAACTAAAATTTGAGTTAAATTTCTTGATTCACGGTTAGGTGCAAATATACTATAAGGCAAGAGGACATACACAATAGCTAATTCATTTTTTGCTGTATCTCCAGTGTCTAGCAGAATGTACAAGCTTGAAAATATTTTTGGCATGAGTAAAGTCATTTAAGCAAGATTTGGCATGAGTAAAGTCATTTAAGCAAGATTTTGCATTTAGTCAGAACTGTAACTGAGATCTGGGTTGCAATCTTAGCTTCATTAATTATTAGGAAATTACTTAGCTTCTCTGAACCTGTTTTCACTTTTGAAAAATGAGAATAAAACTTACCATTTGACTAGGTACATTGAGTTCGTAGGAATATAAATGTGAACAAGAGGGTGAGGAAAGTAGAGGGTAGAAAAGACCAATACAGATAAAACAAGACTAGAAATGAATAAATAGGAAATAATAGTTATAATAAAAGAAAAAAAAATAAGGTGCTACAGCAGAAATAATTTATAGATTTCTACTATAAAAATATACAGTTTTAAGCAGATTATACAACATAATATGTGCTCAAGAAACACTGGATTTCATTCCTATCTTCCTCAGCTAAATTATGAATGAAAAGAACTGAACATGAAAAATATTTAACTTTGATAAACAGTTATATAATTAGAAGATGGTAATATGTACTATGAATAGCAAGATTGATATTCAAGCACTTTACAAATATTGTTTCCTAGCATGACTGAGGCAGTATAGCTGTTAAAAACATGTCCTCCAGCCATAAAGATGTGTTCAATCACACTATTTAAGTTTGAGCTGAGTAATTAACCTCTCCAATCCCCAATTTCTTAACTTAGTTAGAAAATAAGGAGAACATAAGGACCTATTTTACTGGACAGTTATGAAGATTAAATGAGATAATGATAAAGCTACAGTAATCACAACAGTATGGTATTGGTATAAAAACACACAATAGATCAATGAAATAGCCCGAAATAAACAAGATAAGTAAGTTCTGCAGATGTAACGTAGAACATGGTTTAAAAAAAAGATAATGAATAGTATTTGGCATATCATCTTTCAGTAAAGGATTAGACAAATTATCCTTATGTCTTTAAATGTCTCTCTCAAAATCAGTATTTCTTTTTGTTTTCTACTAAACTACCTCTAGTGAGCTATTACTCAACCACGTGATTTGGAAAATATCATATATTTTCAAAAGAACGATTTACTACCAATTATTCTAAGAAAAAAACTGATTAAAAAAAGATATAGATGAGTGGCATTAGTCCAAAGAGTTGAAAATGCCATATAGATTTCAAGTCTACAGCTTCTTAAGAAAATTACCTAGTAGTATATTGTACTCTAGAATGGCTGAGAGCAGCAGGATGAACAAAACTTGTACAAGAATTGTAAACACCTAAGAAGTCACTTCTTAGGTGCCTTCACAGAAGGGCAATCCTCGGCAACTAAGTTAAGTGTTAGCAACAAAGTGGAGAGTACTGAGTCTCCTCTCTACCCCTAGCAGTGGTCCAGACAAGTTCTAACCTCTACTCTCTATAGCCATCACTCTATTAACTTCTCAACCTTCAAGTCCTTCAATTCAAGAAGGTAAAGGTGCTACAGGTAAGGCGGGCGGGGTAGGAAGATGCATTAGCCTCTTCTCAATTCTTCACTCGCCCTCAAACCATGACCTCGATTGCGCGGCCCCTCCTCCACTATAAAGAGGCAAATTCTGATACCGAGAAAGGCTAAAACTTTTTTCTTCTTGCAGAGAGCACCAACCGGGACGTCCCCTGCAAACGCCTAAGAAGGTGGGGTCTTCCCACCTCTTCAGACACCGACCGCTCCCATCGACTCCTCCCCCGCCGCTGACCGACGGTCCGACCTCACCTGGGAGAGGTTCCACTGGGGTATGGCTTTAGAGAAACCTCAGGAAAAGCGGGCCAGCGAGCGACGCCACCGAAGACACATTCATGGTCTACCTCGTTCAGGTCACTACCGCAGACGCGCCTCAGTCACTGCGCCTCCCGCCTCCGAGTCGTTCCCGTGCCGCCCGGGTACGGTCGCAACCTCCTGCACTGCACGCCGGGAAAGGCCTACCTCTGCTTCTCAGGCACTTCAGTTCCCAGGATGCACAAGCCTCCAGGAAGCACCGCACTCTGGGATTTGGAGTCCTAATCCCACGCCTTCTTCTCGTCTTTTACATAGAGTCCAGGGACCTCTCTGGGGAATCTAAACGTAAAGCATCACCCACGGTCGTGAAATGTAGGCTTCGCTTGCATCCGGGGTCTTATTCGGGCGGTGGCTGGGTGGGGAATCGTGTCGCCTAGCAGCTGCCGCCGCTATTGCTTCCTTCGGACCAGTTGGCGAGATCCAGTGTTGTGTTGGAACCACGCTGGGGAGCGGTCAGGCGTAGTGGCGGGGCCGGTTTGGTGGATGCGGTAGATACGGAGCCGCTGCTGATTGCCAGGCTCGGTGGGTGGGTCTTGGTGAGCTGGAACGGCGAATCTTCCCATGCAGATTCTTTAATCCTTGGGGTCCACACGTAATAGCCCAGCTTCCTACTACTTAGTCTTTGGTCCGCAATTCGTTTGCTTTTTCGCTTCAGCCGTGGTTACCCCGGCCCGACTGCACTAATTTCAATTATTTATGTCTGCACTTTTTTTTTACTCCCAGTTCCTGCTTCTCCGAATCAGGGGTCAGTTTCAGCCTTCCAAGCACCTCCGCGCTTGGCACCATTAGATGTCCGCGCGCTTTGGTGGTAAGGAACGTGGAGAAGGGGACTCAAAACCTTGGTTCTGACCTAGATTAATTTGAGCAAGGGAGCTGTCTGCCATATTTTATTTAGCCTATATAATATCTGATGGTTTGTGCCGACTGCTATTTTGATCAAGGCTATTTTACCCACATCTCTGTTATACAGTTAAGGTGTCATAGCCCTTTGATAACACCATACAGTTATAATTTAATTTATAAAAACTGTAAATTACTGTAAAAACAATAATGCTGTTTACCTTGAAAATGCTAATACCCACTTTTTTTTTTTTTTTTTTTACAGAAGGTAAAGCATTGCTAAAGAATTCAAGATGCCACCTAATATAAACTGGAAAGAAATAATAAAAGTTGACCCAGATGACCTGCCTCGTCAAGAAGAATTGGCAGATAATTTATTGGTTTCCTTATCCAAGGTGCTTCATTGATAAATAATACATAGATATATACATATGACTAAGATTAATCTAAGTTGTCCCTGAAATCGCTGAATGGTATAACTGGAAGAATTCTTATATTTTATTTAGGGGTTATGAAATATAAAACAGTTCTTTTTCTATTTACTTAGGTGGAAGTAAATGAGCTAAAAAATGAAAGCCAAGAAAATATGATACACCTTTTCAGAATTACTCAGTCACTAATGAAGGTTCGTATACAGTAGGTTTTAAAAACAGCTTTGTTAGAGAAATTTAAGAATCTGTTTTTGAAGAAATTAATCTGTGAAAGTACTTTGTGATACCTAAATCAGCTCTAAAAATGAGATATCTTCAAATCTGATTGAGAATTTTACTGCGCAAAACATTAATAGTTTCTGCGCTAAAGTTCCTAAAAGAATGTGTTTCTCCAAACAGATGGAATATGTTTTAAAATAACACAGGGAGGTCCTATGTTAATTGTGTTAACACAATTCTGAGGTAGAAATGAAAAATGCAGATGACTACTATAGGGATTTGTTAGAAAAGGAAGAGATTTAAGTATGAGAACACTTCATAAAGTTCAAAGAGTGATAAGTAGTTTTAGGTATGTAGAAGGCAGTGCTAAAATGTTATGGAGATTCAAGAGCTGGAAGTTCCCATAAGCAAAAAACTGGGGATTGAAAATGTGTATATTCTTTGTATTTGAGGAGACAAATGCAGAAAGTTTATAGCAGGTTCCAGAGTAAACAAATGTTGGGTACATATAAATTGACAGCCTTGTCAAGGATTCAGAGTTGTATCTTATGCTGTCAGAAATGAGGAGCCATTAAAGATTTTTGAGCCACAATTGATAGATAAAAAAATATGCCTTAGGAAGGCTAAACTAGGTATGTTAATAGGACAATTTGAAGCTGTTTAGACAGAGCATTGTGAAGGAGGTTAGACATAAAATTATGGCTAGCATAATGACAATGAAAGGTAGTGGAAAAGAATAGAAGAAAAAAGAGTGGAAAACATTACAAAGGGAAAAGTTGCAATACTGGATATAAGACTTAAGAGAAAAAGGAAACAAAGATGTTTCAAACTGTTGAGAATACAAATTATAGCGTTAAAAAAGAAAGTCATGTATCCACTTAACAAATATTTGCTCAGTGTCTCCACGTGACAGGCATGGAAACACTAAGTATTGGGATATCAAATAAAATCTTGAGTTTCAATTTTTGCATTCTAGTGTAAAGGCATATTGCAGTCCCCCCCTTTTTTTTCTTTAGATGAAAGCTCAAGAAGTAGAACTAGCTTTGGAAGAAGTTGAAAAAGCTGGAGAAGAACAAGCAAAATTTGGTAAATGCCTTGGGGAAAGTTTATTTTGATGTTAGTGGATTCTGTTTATTCACTAAAGCTAGAGAATTATTAGCTATAAAGTATATATACTCAATCTTTTGAAAAATATTTGTAGATTTATTTCATGGGTCTGGTATAAAATAGTTATTTTCTCTTATATTACCTTATTACTATCACGATGGAATCTTTAAAAAAAATTTTATTTGAAAAGTTTGTTTTGATGTAAATCTGACCAATTGAAACATTTATTTTTATTTTTTTAAATAGAAAACCAATTAAAAACTAAAGTAATGAAACTGGAAAATGAATTGGAGGTATGTTCTTTTGTATTCCTTGTGGTGTAATTGTTATTAATTTTATCTCAAATTATTATTTTCATGATTTTTGATAATTGTTGACTGGAAAAAATTCACAAGAATGACACTATTTGTTCAGTATATATTTTACATACCGATTATGAACAAAATAAAAACATTCAGTAATCTCATGGTGTTTACAGTCTAGAGAGATATACAAAGGATTACTAGTAACCAAAGTAAACATAGTAGAAGTAGCTTTTGAGAGAGCCAACATCCAAAATATGAATGTGTTAATAACTGAATAAGTTGAGATTCCTGAGAGTGTGGGAAGGAATGTGATACAAATGGATTAGCCTTTGAAAGGAGGAAAGACCTTCCTTTGTAAGAGGAAAGGAGGAAGAATAGATGTGTACAGAAACCTTTAGGTTTGTAGGTTTAGTGCCTGGAAGTTGAGAGGGTGAAGAGAAGGTCATCTTCTAAAATTAAGAGTTGGAGATACATGGTCAAATTTTAAGAAAGATAAAGTTTGAAATATAGTGGTGAGTGAGCCGGGGGGTTACTGGATCTAGAGTCAGACAATTTGAGTTCAGATCCTCATTTTATGTGTTACCCCTGTGAACTTGGATTTATTTTTTATTCCCTACTGTATATCCAGCTTCTAGGAAAATACCAACCACTCTCAATAAATACTTATTAAGTGAATTATGAAGTCTGATTCATTCTGTTAGTGTTTGGTCAGGTAGCAGCTGCAGAATAAAGGGGTAGGGGCAGTTGGAGATATTGGTAAGAAAAGTGGTTGCAGTAATCATAATGAGGTCTTAGCTGAATAGGCAAGGAAATCAAGATTGGGGTGGTGGAGAGAAGTTAGGGAGGAGTCAAGGGATTTGAGGGCAGGTATACTGGGAATAATGCAGAGACTTCCTGCTTGGACAAGGTCCTAGGGTGGGCATGGGAGTAGGAGGCTATACTGAATTCAAGAATCAAGTTTAAAAAAAAAAATGAGACCAAGAATGAAAGTTGTGTAGATATGGGAATTGCTTTGAGGGGCTTTTGATGGAAGACTGAGCTATGTGCCAATAATTCCTCAATGAATTTTGTGAGCAAGTGACTTGAAGTTGGTAGTTTGCTGCTGTTATGAGTAGACAGAGGTTAATAACTGAATAAGTTGAGATTCCTGAGAGTGTGGGAAGGAATGTGATACAAATGGAGATATCATGTGAGATTCAAAGCATAGTTGGTAGTTTGCTGCTGTTATGAGTAGACAGAGGTTAAATAGCTGAATATCATGTGAGATTCAAAGCAGGAGGTGTTTTTACAGGATGGTGGAGGAGTGATAGCTTGGAAGTTGGAGATATCATGTGAGATTCAAAGCAGGAGGTGTTTTTACAGGATGGTGGAGGAGTGATAGCTTGGAAGTTGCGAGTTGGGGTAAATCAGCACCTTCTCTTGACCCTGAAGTATATGGGATGCAAATGAGTGTCTCCCAAGTGAAAGAGTTCCAAAGGAATTAGTATACTAAAAGGAGCCAATTGAAGCTAAGGCTAGGAGTTGGAAAGGATGATTCAGTAAAAAGGTTGAGGATGTAAAATACTAATTTATCTCAAAAGAGAATTTTCAAGAACACAATGGAAAGCTTTTTGAAGGAGAGAAAGAATGAGAAAAATTCGGTTAAGGTAGAGGAGTAACAGAACTGTATGGTGAAGAGGTGAATGTGAGACAGATAAGATGACCAAAAGGATTTGATGTTTTGGACTATGACCCAAAATAACAAGAAATGAAGTGAAATTGAAATGAAGTGGATTTCATCTGCTGCAAGATTTTAAAGATAATCTAAATCTGGGCTGTCCAATACTGTAGCACTAACAACTTGTGGCTATTTACATTTAAATTCATTAAAATTAGACATTCTGTTCTTTAGTTGCACTAGTCACATTGCAAGTGCTCAATAGCCACATATAGATAGTGGTTACTGTACTGGATAGTGCAGAACATTTTCATTATTCTAGACAGTCCTATTTTTGGATAGCACTGGTCTTTGGTATGAGGGAAATGGTAGGTTAAGAGTACTAGGGATCAATGACTGGGATGGAGGCTTTGGTAGTTTGTGGCCTGGTTCCAGAGCTCTGATGCTCAGGAGAAACCTAGATAGTTCATCACCTATGTTCTATGACTTTGCAGTTTAGTCCAGTACCTGTGGCTTAGAGGCTGTAAGAGATCCTGAGTGATTGATGGTCAATTCTTAGCTCTGGGTGATTTAGGAACAGCTTAAGGGGTTGTCAGCCTGTCAACTAAATCTTAAATAAGCTAAATTTAAAAAAATGTTTATTAAGCTAACGTGATTTTAAACATCTGCTGATTATAATAACATTTAAAATAGAGATAATTCTTTGCTTATTATTGATTTATTTGATCTCCAAATATAATGGGATTAATTTATACTTTTGTTTTATTTAAGATGGCACAGCAGTCTGCAGGTGGACGTGATACTCGGTTTTTACGTGATGAAATTCGCCAACTTGAAAAGCAGTTGGAACAAAAAGATAGAGAATTGGAGGACATGGAAAAGGAGCTAGAGAAAGAGAAAAAAGTTAATGAACAAGTAAGGCACATTTTTTTTTTGATGGATCTTAACTGTTCAAGTTACCTAAAAAATACTTGGTTATGCTCTTTATAATTACTGGTAACAATATAATTTTTTATGTTTGTATGTTATATGTGAAAATTGATGTATCTTTATCGCTAAGGTCTTTATATTCACAGTTCATGTTATCATCATGTCTTTAAAATATAATGGATCAGGTACTTCTAGTGAATATGATGTGGAGATTAATTTTCTATGTTTAGAGGTACATTTTTCTGAGAGTATTTGAATTGTTTACATAAAATTGATGATTTGTTTTGGAAAACTGGTATGAAGAAATTAATAGGCATTTAAAAAATTGATTTTCTTATTTGCTATAGTTTATTTTGGGGAAAAAGGTATTTTTTTTTTTTGTATTTATGCTAGTAGTAGACTTGGAAATTAATCTTTAATGATGTATTCAGTAACAATCAATCAGATTTCTTGTTTTTGGATGTACCTCATGTAATATATAGGTTCTTAAAAAGTTGTGTTGATTATCAGCATTTTGTAAATCAATACTTATTTTAAAATTATGACATTTCATCTTTTTATACTAGCATAGTTTGCTATTATCTCTTATATTATTCCTTGTTATTTATAAAATCATACAATGTTCACTTAAATTTTATTTGAAGAAAAAAAATTTTTTATAAATAAATTTGTATCTTCTGTCAGAAAATAACATGTTTTTATTTTGCCTCAACTGTCAGTAAGCAGTACAGAATTTGGTGCCAAATTGTGGTAACTGTCCTATCCCTAAAGCCCAGAAGCTTTTTCTACCTTTTTGTCCTTTAAAAGATTAATGTTACATTCTGATATTCTTACTTGGTCCATTGTTCTTTTGGAAATAGATGGTTATAAATTTTAACTAAACAACAGTAATCATTAGGTGATGTTACTATTAATAAAGAATCCATTATAAATTGATTTATAAGGGATATATCTAATTTACTATATAATTTGGAAAAATCATGCAATAATCATGTTATCTATATAATTTTTGCAATGAAAAAAGTGTAGATTGAGTCACCTAAAGGTTAGGATTAAGCTCTTATTTGTTTAGGGCATTATTTGTTCAGTTGACTCGGTAAAACATAACAGACCTATAGATTTTTTAATAATCGTAGAGGATTCACCCTGTGATATACAGTAAAAAAATTCCTTAGGGGTATGTCTGTGAGGTTTTCTGTACTATGTGGTTTTTTTCTATCTAGCCCATATATTATTACTTAACCTCTTATTATTCGTACCACATACTCTAACTAATGAGAAATACCTGTTCATTTGTGTCTTAGATTACCTTTATTCATAGAAACACACAGTGAAAACTTGAACATATGACCAATGTACCTTTTCAGCTGCTAGGTTCCTTGAGATAGAATATGGGTATGAGTTGCTTTGGCAATTTCTTTATGCCCTTAACAAGTCATTCAGTTTTACTGAGTAATTTACAGCATACCAAATACTGTGCTAGATATTAGGGATATAGTGGGCAACTATATTCTGCATCTCAGTGATATTCAATGTTAATAATAAATGTGACATAGAGCTCATATGATATTCTGGAGAAACATAAGTATATATGAATATTCTGTAATACTCTAGAGAGGGATACCTAAATTAGTCTTGAAATTCAGGAATTGATCTGTATCAAGAGACCTGAAGTAGGAGTTAGCCTAGCTAAGGGAATGAGATGTACGTTGTGGTTAAAGAAAGGGCATTCTGAGTAGAAGATACAGCATTTGCCAAGACCTGGAAGTAAGAGATAGCATGGTGTATTCAGCGAACAACAGTTATTCATTTTGGCTGGAATATAGATAAAAATACCTAGCGTAGAGTCCTTACTATGTGCCAGATACTTTATATGTATTAATTCATTATTCTTCATTTGATACTTATAGAGATAGGTGACATTTCCTTTATGCTACAGATGAAAGACCTGAGACACAGAAAGGATAAATAATTGCCCATGGTTATACAGTTAATGAGTAGTAAAGCCATGATTTGAATTCGAACTTACTCAGCGGTCTCTGCTCTAAACCACTGTGCCATCCTGCCTTCCAGTTTTAACATTCATGATCGTCTGGAAAGATAAGCAATGGCTAGTTTCTGAGGAATTTGGTCTTTTTTCTTAAATGAGAATTTTAAACACAAGGATATCTTGATCAGTTCTATACTTTTAAAGTTCACTCTATTTGTAGAGAATGGATTGAAGGGGGCCAGGACAGGCAAGTGTATAATGGCCTAACTAAAGGAGTGACTGAAGGGGATTAAGGACACAGACACATTCGAGAGATGTAGATATAATTGGACATGATGAATGATTGGTTGACGATGAAGAGGGATGAATGGAGAGTCCACCTAATTTTCTAGGTCGGGCCATCAGATAGATGGATAGTGCCATTCACTTAGAAGGGACACAAGAGTTGAGTTGTTGGTTTGCAATTATTATTTCAGTTTTATACGCTTGAGTTTGAGGTCTCTGTGTGCATATTCAAAAAGGATATCTGTGGATATAGAATTCACAAGAGATACTGTGTAGAGGATAAGGGTTTGTGGATCATCTGCCTAGATATTGAAGCCATAGAAATGCTCGTAAGGCAGACCTCTGAGATATAGAAATGTCTAATGAAATAGAAAGAGATGCTTTAAAGGACAGGTCAAGAAAGTATAACAAAAGTGTGATATTTCAAAAACCAAGGGAAAAAAGCATCAGTAGTGTTAAGTGCTGTAGTGTTAAGTTCTTGACATCTCTCTTGTTAAAATTTTTTTATTCAAAACAATGTCTTAACTGCCATATAGTAATGATAATAAAAATAGGTGAACTTTTAAGATGTGTATAGCACATTGCATTTTATTATGAACTTTCTTTGAACTTTAATTTTGAAAACTTTTGTATTTTCATAAAGATTGTAAGAAAAACAACATCCATATGCTATTCATATAGGTTCACTAGTTGTTAACATTGTACCATATTTGCTTTATCATTCTCTCAGTATCTTTGTACACACAGATGTTTCTCTCCCTCCCTCCCCTATACCCCTCCTCTCTCCTGAGCCATTTGAGAGTTGATCGCAAATCTCATACTTCATATTTAAGTATTACAGATAATCATGATACTTCATTTTTAAGTATTTCAGCATGTCTCTCCTGAAAAGAGAATACCTCAGGAGAGGTATTCTCCAATATAACTGCTATATAATTAGCATACTCAGGAATTATAATATTAATTTGATAGAGTTACCTAATATCTGATCTATAATCATTTTTTTCTGTATTGGCTCAGTAATGTCCTTCATAGCCTCACCACCCAATATCCAAGGTTCCATCAAGAATTACATACTGCATTTGGTTATTTATTATAGACTTTTAAGTATGTTATAGTTGCACACCATTGGGATTTTATCTTCTTGAAATGAAGGGGAAAAGCAGAATAGTGAAAGGTCATAAGAGGGATGGGGTTTGGATAATAGAAGAGAAAACTCCATAATGGTTATAATATTTGCCTGTTTTGGGAAACTGAAGAAGAGTCACAAATGAAATCATTTATATGTGGAGAAGAGAACACTTCAAAATTTTTTGCTATTCCATGTGCTGAACATTGTGCAAAGGACTTTATATACATTGTACTTAATTTTTATATGAGCTTATGAGATGAGAAAACTGACTTTAAGAGATGTTAAATGACTTGTTCACATTTTACTTGCAATCATTGTACAAGGGATATAAATCTAGGCCAGTCTGATTGATTTCACATTCCTTTTTTTTAACCATGATGTTGTATTATGTTATATTTCTAAGTAATTTAATGTTTACTGAGAGCAGAGAGTATTCTAGCCTTGACAGAACAACTATAAAATGATAAAGATCTTGGTCAGAGAACTATTCATTATTAAGATTTCTGCTGGTGAAGTAGGTATGTGTTTTTGTTTTTCTGTATCCTTTGGTTAGAGATTTTTTAAAAATAATCTTTTAAACTAAACCTATTTTATCTTTCCTAATTCTTAGTTTTCAGATATTTTGTCTTATTTATATCTTGGATCATCATGTAGTCCATAGTAGATAAACATTCTTCACTTCATTGGAGATTTAAATTGATAAGCTGAAAATCTAGCATTGTATTGAATTGCCACTGAATTTTATTTATTTATTTTTTGCTATTTTAGTTGGCTCTTCGAAATGAGGAAGCAGAAAATGAAAACAGCAAATTAAGAAGAGAGGTTGGTAAACAATTTTAGTAATTGTAGTGGATCAACAAGATACTTGTAAAATAAGTTTTCATAAATTTATACAGTAACCAGAACTGGAAATGTCTAAGTAAGTGATATTTTCAAACTGGCTGATATTATGATAAGACTTTATCTCAGAAAAATAGAAAATAAATTGAGAGGTGAGGCCATTAAGTCCTACATTCATCTCTTAGGTCTACGTGGATAAATCTTGCTTTCTGTTTCATAAGCTATTCTTTACTAGTTTGCTAATTGAGTATATGACTGGATTTCTGTCTTATTATGTCTCTCATTTTATCCAGCAGTCTTTAAAAATTTTTGTTTCTCATGAAATCTCATCAGTTCTAATTGTTATTTGGTTCTTCTGAGCCAAATAATATTTACACTGTTTATCCTAATAGGCGTTCTTATCTTTTTAACATAGTCAACATGTTCTTTGTCTTTGTTGATAATATTCTTGCTTTTTTTGGTTATCCAAAATAATATCTCATTCTCCTAGAATTTCTCTTGTTTTCTTTAATTTTTAATTATTATTTTTAATTATGTGTTACCTTTCTCATTTCTAATGACCTTTTTCCTGTCCTTTTGTGGAGAACAAACGTCTAAAGAAAAAGGTGAGGCTTTAGGGGTGGTGAAACCTTGGGATTTTAAAGATAATGTTTTGACATCACTATTTAGAGGATGAAATTTTGTTTTTCTGGATAGTTTCTTAATAGAATATTGTGTTTGGTTTACCTTCAGAATGAACAGCTTCGTCAAGATATCATTGACTATCAGAAACAAATAGATTCACAAAAAGAAACACTTTTATCAAGAAGAGGAGAAGACAGTGACTACCGATCACAGTTGTCTAAGAAAAACTGTGAACTTGTTCAATATCTGGATGAAATTCAGGTAAAATGGATAGATGTCAGTTCAAAGCAATGATTCTTATAAAACTTTAATTTTATTATTATATAAATCTAATATTTAGCACTACATTTAAATTCTTTAGTATAAATCTGCAACTATATGTTTATAAAACATGAAATAAATTGCATCTTTGAAGTTTTGCAAAAATATTTTTGCACATTCATTCTTTTTATGTGCCTATCTTGGGCACTGTTTAAGAACTAAGATCCTTAGGTGCAGTTTTTTTGATATTTAATTTGATTTAATTGGTCAACGGCAGTTGATACTAAAGATCTATAAAGAATTCTCCTTTCTCCATCAGATGCTTATGACTTCATGTAATTTAAATTAATTATTTTTTTGTTTTGAAGTTGATTTTATTTATATAATCATAATAAACCTCAATTGATTAACAAAGAATAACAATTAACTCTTTGAAGGATAGGAGGAAATGAGGTAATGATAGAGAAATAGTCAAATCCTCACTTACTATAACAGGAAATAAATATGTTTAAAATGGCTAAGTTAAGAAATAGCCATATAAGTATATTACTTATAAATATGACCATAAATACCATAGGAAGTAGCTTAAAGTTAAAATAAATTACTTCTTGGGTAGGGAAGAATGTTATTTTTACATTTATAAGCTTTTCGGAATTGTTTAAATTTTTTTAACCACATATTTCTTATTCTAATCAAAAGAGGGGAAGAGGCAATGGCATTATGCTGAAAGCACAGAGAATGGGGGAGAGAGTGGTGCAAGATGAGGCTGAGGTCTTGTAGACCTGTAAGGATCTTGATCTTCAGTGGAAAGTCACTGAAGGTTTTGGGGGATATGTGTGTATGCCATGAAATAATTTTGAAAAGCACTGGTTTGTAGGGGTAAAAGAGTGTAATAGGGCATACCAGTTAGATGGCTATTTTTATAACTAAGATGAGATTTAGAGGTAGCTTAGCTACAATAATAAAAAACACGATTTAATAAATTTGAAATTTAGAAAGATTGATTATAGCAACAGATAACATGAGAAACTGGATATAATGAAAAATACCTGAATCCACATGATGGGTAGAAAATTATGTATAGTTCACATTAGGTAACTTTAGCATTATTATGTAAAAATAACCTCAAATCATATTCAGTGGGACTGTGATATTAATTACCAGGCCCTCCTACATAAAGATTTGATGAAAACACTTAGGTATGACAAATATCTTTGCTCCATCCAGGATTCCATGACAGAATATTAAGAGACTACTTTAAGGTCAAGAGACTACTTTTCTAATTCTCCGACAGATACATAACTAGTACCATTGTAGACGGATAGAACATTTTAAATTAAATCTCTCACAAAACCCCAATTGAGAAGGGCTGATAACAAGGATAGCTTCTGATGTGATTCAATCCATATTTTTCTTTTTTTAATGCCCAATTCTATTGTCTTTTTTTAAGTTTAAAAAAATTTTTTCAATTATAGATGTATTAGTATCAAATGAACAACATAGCGATTAGATTTTTTTTATAACTTACAAAGTGATCACCCCTATAAATCTAGTACAAATCTGACACTATACATAGTTATTACAATATTATTGACTATATTTCCTATGCGCTACTTTATATCCACATGACTATTTTGTAACTACTAATTTGTACCTTTTAATCCCCCTTTTTCACACATCGCCTACTCCCTCTCCTATCTAGAAACCATCAAAATCTCAGTATCTATGAGTTTCTGTTTTGTTTTTTTAGATTTCACATGAAAATGAAATCATGTGGTATTTGTCTTTATCTGACTTACTCCACTCAGCATAATACCCTCTAGGTCCATCTGTTTTGTTGCAGATGGCAAGATTTTATTCTTTTTTTATGATGGAGTAATATTCCATTGTATATATGTACCACTTCTTTATCCATTCATCTATTGATGGACACTTAGATTGCTTCCATATCTTAGCTATTGTAAATCATACTGCAATGAACATATGGATGCATATGTCTTTTCGGATTAGTGTTTTGGCTTTCTTTGGATAAATACTCAGAAGTGGAATTGCTGGTTCGTTCTTTGTCTCTTGATATAGCCTTTATTTTAAAGTCTATTTTGTCTGATATAAGTATTGCTACCCCAGCTGTTTTTTTGTTTCCATATTTATGAAATATCTTTTTCCATCCCTTCACTTTCAGTCTGTGTGTGTCTTTCGATCTGAAGTGAGTCTCTTGTAGGCAGCATATATAAGGGTCTTGTTTTCTTATCCATTCAGTCACCCTATCTTTTGATTGGACCATTTAATTTATTTACATTTAAAGTGATTGTTGGTAGATATGTACTTATTGCCATTTTATTATTCATATTTTTGATTTTTTCCTTATTAAAGAAGTCTTATATTTCTTGTAATACTGGTTTGGTGGTGGTGAACTCCTGTAGCTTTTGCTTGTTTTGGGAAACTCTTTAGCTGTCCTTAGATTCTAAATGATAGTTTTGTTGAGTAGAGTCATCTTGCATGTAGGTCCTTGCTTTTTATTACTTTGAATTTTCATGCCAATCCATTCTGGACTGCAAAGTTTCTGTTGAGAAATCAGCTGACAGTATTATGGGAACTCCCTTGTAGGCAACTGCTTTTCACTTCTGCTTTTAAAATTCTCTTTGTCTTTAACCTTTGGCATTTTAATTATGATATGTCTTGGTATGGGCCTCTTTGGGTTTATCTTGTTTGGGACCCTATATTTCCTGGGCTTGTACATTTATTTCCTTTGCCAGGTTAGGGAAATTTTCCATCATTTTTTCAAATACATTTTCAATTCCTTGCTCTTTTGTCATTCCGATACCCATGTCATGTGAATGTTGGCATGTTTGATGTTGTCCCAGAGCTCCTTAGACTATTCTCACTTTTTTCAGTTTTTTTTTTTGCTGTTCTGATTGAATGTTTTATGCTACTGGATCTTCCAAGTCACTGATTCAGTCCTCTGCTTCATCTAATCTACTGTTGATTCATTCTAATATATTCATTTCTGTTATTGTATTCTTTATTTCTGATTCTTTTTTATATTTTTTATCTCCATTTTTATGTTTCCTGTCTCTTTGTTGAAGTTCTCACTGAGATCATTGAGCATCCTTATAACCAGTGTTTTGAACTCTGCATCTGGTAGATTGCTTGTCTCCATTTTGTTGAGTTCTTCATCTGGAGTCTTATTCTGTTCTTTCATTTCAGACATGTTCTTTTGCCTCCTCATTTTGGCTGTCTCCCTGTGTTTGTTTCTATTTATTAGGAAGAGCTGCTATGTTTCCTGGACTTGGTAAAGTGGCCTTATGTAGTAGATGTCCTATGGGGCTCAATGGCTCAGTCTCCTTGGTCACTTGAGTTCGGTACTCCAGGTATGTCCCTTCTGTGGGTTGTGTGTTCCCTCCTGTTGTAGTTGAGCCTTGATTTCTGTTAGCACGTCAATGGGAGGGTTTGACCCTCAAGCTGATTGGTTGTGAGGACTGGCTAGTGACTACAGTAGAGGAGCTGTTGTGCAGGGGCTGACCCTATAGAGCAGGAATCACTTTAGCGGAGCTCTGATGCTTGCTGAGTATACCTTTTGTTTGTGGAGGTGGTTGGCTGGTGGTACTCTGGTATTGTCTGAAGCTAGCCACCAGGTTTGTTGGTTCTAGGACCTCTTGGGAGGGGCTCTGGTGCAGGCCAAGGTCACCCGCTGCCTGTACCCTGCTCAGGCCACTTGATCTGAGTTACAAACTAATCTGTAGATGGTTGTCACTTATGCTGGGCTTGGAGGTGCTTGGGAGAGGCTAAGCTGTGAAATAAGGTTGGCTGCCGCTAGTGCTGTGCTTGCGGCTGCTTAGCAAGTAGCACAGGGCGCATTAAGGCCAGATGCTGTTTGTTTGGGGTTTGTGAACCTTTGAGAGATTTTAGGAAAGTCTGCAGCATGAACCAAGACAGGCTATTTGTATGAAAAGCTACTGGAAGTGGCATGGGTGAGCTCACAAGTTGAGTGGGGCACAATCTCAAGGAGTCATCAGTGTAGGGCTATCTGTGTTAGCTACGTTGGTGGAGACTCAGATACGACAGCCACCTATGCCTGCAGGCTGGGCCAGGGAAGGGCTCAACAAAGGAACAGTGGCTTCTGCCAGCACTTCCGTCTGGGAGAAAGCTGTCCCTCCAGCCCTCGTCCTGAAGCCAGACAATTCAGTTACTCCTCATATGTCCCTGGAGCTTTTCAAACTGCTGCCTTAGTGCTGGAGCTCAGAGCAAGTGAGTCCATCAGTGCATAAGTCCATGGGCAGATCGTTTAAGAGGAATTCTTGGGGCTCTAGCCATCCTCCGTCTCACTCAGCCATAATCTCCTCTGGCTTTCACAACCAGAAGTTGTGGGTACTTCTCTTCCTGGGTTGGGTTGCCTGGTGTGGGGCTGGGACCCCTGGCTCTTCTACAGCTGAAATATCTCCCCTGATTTTTAACCTCCACCTGTGGGTGTGGGACAAGCCCATTTCATGTCTCTTCCCCTCTTACCATTCTCAGTGTGGCTTATTCTATATATCCTTAGTTATAGGACTTCTGTTCAGCTAGACTTCAAGCGATTCTTGATGGTCGTTCTGTAGTTTAGTTGTAATTTTGATGTGGTTATGGGAGAAGGTGGGTTCAGTGTTTAACTACTATGCCATCTTGACTGGCAGCCTCTCTCAATTTAATTTTAAGTTAGTTTCTTATATTATTTTTAACCATAATGTCTTTAACTTTCTTAGACTTTAACGGAAGCTAATGAGAAGATTGAAGTTCAGAATCAAGAAATGAGAAAAAATCTAGAAGAGTCTGTACAGGAAATGGAGAAGATGACTGATGAATATAATAGAATGAAAGCTATTGTGCATCAGACAGATAATATAATGGATCAATTAAAAAAAGAAAATGATTATTATCGCCTTCAGGTAAGAATTCCTGTTGGACTGATTTATTTGTGCAGACTTCATATTACCTCATTATTTATTTGAAACTAGATGGTACTTTAACTTTCTTGGATATGAATTTCTGTCTTACGTTGTAATATGTCGTTTTATACTATAATATGTTGCCATGATGATATATTTGTTTATATGTGTTTCTCTAATGTTCTTACGCATACCTTGTAATTCTTGCCATGTAGGGTATATAGGTGATACCTGAAAGTGTAGATAGCAGTTCTGCAAACCTAATAATTATGGGAATTTCTACTAAAGACTCTTAGCAGTCTTATGGACCGTAAAATTTAATTTTACACCTTAAAAAAATGTACTATTAATATCAAAGAAACCAATAACATTGTTCACTATTTACATGGGGTTAAACTTATTTAAGAAAATATAATAATGCTTAAAAACATAATTATACAACTGTGAAGATGCAGAAACCATTAAACGTCTCCTCTGGCTACAGAACTGCTCCATAATGAACATATATTTGTAATGTATATGTATATATGTATAAATATTCATATATAATAATATGTACATATTGTACTAATTTGCAACAATTCTTGAAATAATTGTTGCCCTTTAGGTGCAAGAACTTACAGATCTTCTGAAAGCAAAAAATGAAGAAGATGATCCAGTCATGGTAGCTGTCAATGCAAAAGTAGAAGAATGGAAGGTACTTTTTCAGTTGTTATAATGGCATTTTCATTTGTAGTTTAGTTTTCAATATTTTGTCTCAGTTTTCTTTAAAGGCGTTATAATAGTTATTTTATTAAGCATTTTTAAAAGTGTATTAAACGTCTTAGCTGGAAGAACTCTAAGAACTCTCCTGCGTAGTACTCTAGCTTATTTGTTGTTGATTTGAGTGCTTCCACCAGTTTAATGAATTAAACTTGAAATTAAACTTTTTGATAGAAATCTAAATCTAAAATATATTTTCATCTAAAATAGATAATTCTAAATAAAATTCATTTTTTATATATATAAAAGTTACCTTGTGTACATTAGTTATAGAATTCCAGGTTAAATTTTAGTTTGGAGTCAGTTTTTCTGACTCTCCTTTCGTGTCAAATTAATCAAGCTGTTGGCATTCAGTGAGAGTGGGAGTAAGAAAAGGGATCTTTCAGAATCACCTGAGACGTCATTTCGAAAGTCTCTTTCTCCTCACTAGTCTCTAATCCCAGGCAAATCCTCCAGCCTTACCATATCAGAAGCTATTATTGGAATGATTGTATATTTTGAAAAAAGTCTGAAGTGATTTTGCATAAATGATTCAAATTATAAAAGCTATCACATGTATAGTCAGTGTTTCTAACAGGGTTGACATAAATCTTATTGGCTATTTGGAATTGATTATCATCAGAGAAGCTCAGATAATCTATTTTAAACAAAAGCAGTAGTAGCACTGGAAATGAGGCCTATAGAATCGATTAGACGTCAGTAAACTTTTTGTAAAAGGCTAGGAAGTAAATATTTAGACTATCTGGTCTCTAGTATAAGTACTCAACTTTGTTATTATAGCATGAAAGCAATTATAGACAATACATAAATGGATGAGCAAGGTTCTTTTCTAATAAATCTTTAAAAAACAGGTAGCAGGCCAAATTTGACATGTAAGCCCTCATTTACCAAGCTCTGGGTGGCAGGGGAGGAGGAGGTTGGGAGGAGAGTAGTTTTTACCATACTTAATTTTGTGGGGAGAGATGATAGCATATCTATTCTTCTGCATTTTACTTTGTTTTTACTTAATATCTTTTTTAAAAGCCTTATTTTATATCAGTACATATAGTATTGCATTGTTCTTTTTAATGGCCGTGTAATTTTTTTGGCAGATGTTATTTATTTGAATACTATTATGTGATGCTTAGAAGGTTACCAGTTTTTGCTGTTGGAAATAGTGTTTTAATGAATATGTTCGTATAGTCATTATTTTGGAAATGTATATCTGTAGAATAAATTGCTACAAGTGTAATTGTGGTACATAATGCAAATATATTTTTCCAGTTTGTCTCTTGTCTTTTGGCTTTATAGTATTTTTTACTATGAATTCTTTTTATATATTATGTAGATTAATTCATTATATTTTTAAGGCTTTTGGCCTTTGTATCATAATTAGTAAGGATTTTGAATATAAAATTGTTTTATCATATTTTCTTTTAGTGTCTTCTAGTTTCATATTTGCATTTAGATCTTTGAAGCATATATAATTCATTTTGCTATAAAGAGTGAGATATGGATGCACTAGAGCTAATCTGTTGTCCAAACATTATTTGAATATTTAATTATTCTCTTACTGAAATACAGTTCTATTTTTATTACATAGAAATGTCTAGTGAATTTTATTTTATGACTTTCTTATATTGACCTATTTTCTAACCATGTACATTTGTTTTAATTATTGTTATGTTTAAATATTCGAAAAAGCTATTTTCAGTGTTTTTCTATTTTTAGACTCTTCCTTATAAATGCATTTTGTTAACGGATTTTAGTAATAGTTCTTAAAAATGTCTTAGTTCTTTTATTGCGTATGAATTAAATTTATAAATCAACTTATAGATTGATGTCGATATTTGGTTTTAATAGAGGAAAAACAGAAGTTATCTTTCCTTTTTTAAAAAAATCGAGATATAATTGACATAACATTACATTAGTTTTAGGTATACAATGTTATGATTTGATATTTGTATATATAGCAAAATGAACATCACCACAATGAGTCCAGTTATAACATCCATCACCATACATAGTTACAGTTTTTTTTTTTGAGAACTTTCAAGATCCACTTGCCTAGTTATTTTTACATTTGCAATACAGTATTTAAAAAAATGGTGGTTAGATGCCACAGAGTAGGTGGCAATGCTGTAACCGTATATATGTTACCAGGCCCTAGGGCCTCTTGTCAAGGGGAAGGCAAATCTTCTCTCCTTTCATTCAGTACTGCAGGATATCTTTCATTCATTCAAGATATTTTATGCTTCTCAGTGGCATTTTAATATTTTCTTTATGAAGATTACTTGTATAAAATTTTTTGTTATTGCATGGAGGAGGTATTTGAACTTCTTGTTTTGAGAATGAGTTTTGAAACCTTGAGATTGTTTAAAGATTGAATTCCTAAAAAAAAAAAATTACAGTGCATATAATCATTTCTTATTTGAACTTCAAGTTGTACATACAAAAGGAACAATGATTATTTCAATAGTTGCTGATACTTTCTCACTTTAAAGAATTTTATTTCCTATATTTTCTTGAAATCTTCTAATGGTATATAATAGACTATCATAAATGAGGAATGGTTTATTAATTTCTTTTCATGTAACAGATCCTATTTTGTTTATTTCTAGGTAATTTTGTCTTCTAAGGATGATGAAATTATTGAATATCAGCAGATGTTACATAACCTGAGGGAAAAACTGAAAAATGCCCAGCTTGATGCTGATAAAAGTAATATCATGGCTCTACAACAGGTAAAGCCTCAAAATTTCATTTATCAACAAATGTTATTAAAGTTGGCAATAAAACTTTGAACTATGTCTTATATCACCTGTGCCTAATCTAGGGGCTTGCACTATTAGTTACGTAATAAAGACTTTGACCATCCAATCCCATGAAAAAAATTAGAATTAAGTTTCGTGTTAGGATAGAATTATTTCTATGTATGTTGATGCAGATAATACATTCATTGCTTTGACTGGGAATTATTTAATATGAAACTATTAAAAACTTTTAGAAATTTAAAAATACCTTAATACTCTTATTAAAGTTTATTATATTGTACTCTAGTGCTGAAATATCCTATACAATGTGAAATTAGCTAAAAGTGTGGTTATAATGTGACTGTATTACATAAAGATTTCATTTTTAGTACAAATATGTTCATATAGAAAGAAGTTACATTTTCATTATCTGTACTCTTTATTCATAGTACAAAAGAAAGAAGGAAATTTAGGAAGTATTTGGTGAATAAGAACGATTTTAAGGGACACATACATATATATTTTAAAATATATATATATAAATATAAAA